AATCCTCCAACCAGGGAGCTCAATCCTTAGAATTAATAAAAATATGACATTTATTTTGTTTATTTAATTAAAATTATACAAAAATGTATTTAGCTTAAAAATGTGAATACTTTTTTAAAATATAAGTAATTATTAGATAGTGAGTAGCAAGCACATTAAGAATATTAACTAAACAATAATCCAGACTGTCACATAATGTTTTAAGCCAAGGCAAAAGTATTAGAACTCTGCTGCGATTAGATTTTCTTGCCTGGGGACATTTGGTTTCTAAGTAATATATAGAATACTTGTAAAATGTAAAGCGCTTTTTGCAATAAAACCTATTATGCAACCACACTAATTGTGACCAGCTCTGTTTCTTTTCGTACGAACAAATTTCGAAAGCAGCCATGTTGTGGATGAGTTGCCCGTTTTTATAGTGTTATTTATTAATATTTAAATTGTTTAGAGCTTTCTAGACAGACTATGATTCCCACTTAAAAAGCCAACCAATTCTATATTCAAGAAATCACATCACTTTTGTACGGCAAATTTATCGTCAAAACTGTTTGAATTCCACAGAAAAAGTGTTCGTTTTGTGAGATAAAACGTCATTTCCTAATTGACATTGACATTAGATAAATCAAACTCTTTTTTTAACACATTTAAAATATCTAGTTTTTTATCACTATATTTAGAGTTTGGACTTCAGATTTTTCTGTGAAATGCTGATATCTGGATCAATTTTGATAGGATAACATATTCTAGTATAGTTATACTTTAAAAATGTGGAATCAAAATTGTATGCAAATTCTATGTTCTAAGTTGATACCTAACTAACTACAAACATAGAGCCTTGAGCCATACAGTTATTTAAAGGAATAAGAAAAAAATCCAAACAAATTATTAAAAACTTGTATATACATATGTATATATATATCGCGTAGAAAAGAGTTTAAAAGGATCCAAATTTTTCTTCGGTTTGCGAAAACTTTGTACTAACTCAACTTATATTGGAAAATCTTGCTTTAAAAATTGCAGCTCATATACAGACACACACTATAAAATCTGTCATTGTATGAAATTTAAGGCGTGTGTCTTGTGTTAGATAGGTGCAATCTAACAAATTAAAATGTTCTTAAAATAACCCGATTTCCATGACCTATACACAACAAGAAAGGATTAAAGTTTTGTGAATTTTTGTTTCTGAATTAGTTGGATGATTATTTGCAAATTGGCCTTTGTGTTGACAAACAAGCGCATGCTTCATATATAAGTAAGAAGAGAACTCTTCAAACATAATTTATAAATCAGTGCAAGAAAAGAAATTACAGAGCTATTAGATTAAAAATATTAATCAGAAATCAGTTGAATTCAAGTGCACTTTATAGGAATACAAATAAATTGGTCACAATTCCAATGGCCAAATTAAATTTTCCTTTAAAATTAAATATGAATTGCTGAAGAGATTAACCCCACGCAGAGTTTTAGTTGGCTGACATATTTGAAGTTATACAAAGAAAAGGCAAGTCTCGTTCTCTAAAATGGCAAATTAAAGGAAGATTTCTTCATATAAACGCATGTGCTAACTTCGCGATTGAGCTGTTTTTATGATATCCTAAAAAAACACAAAGGCTTTACCATATTTATAATCATCTCATCTAAATCGAAATGAAGTTTACACTTGTCCAAAATTAAATTTCGCAATAACACGCCAAGTATACACCTTACATCCCTCCACCATTTACATAGCATTTTAGTCCCTTTGCCACAGTTTGCATTATAATTTTAAATCCAACTTAAATACTATCCTAACTGTGTAATAAAAAATGTCAAATACCTTAAAATAAAATTCATGCTTCCACTGCTTAAAAACGTTTAACCATGCCTTAATGTCGCGTGTCAACAACTACAACTCCTAACCACGTGTTAATCTCTTCGCCAACTACAACAACTACTCAACTATGATAACACACATTAAAAGGTTGCCTGGAGTAAATACTACAACTGATCTCTGATTAAAGTCAGGTAGGTGTGTCTGTTAAATAATTTTTGAATACTTCGAATACGTTAATTTTCATGCCATGAAACTCTTGATTCAAAATATAACTCAAACTTTTGGAAACAATTAGGTTGGTGGCGGCGTATCAATTGCTTGTATGGTGAATTCGAATTATGTTTTGCATGACATGCAAGAAGAAGATTATGATGATGAAATTATCGTCGTCTGCAGTCCGCCGAATCAAATTATACCCACATCCCCAAATGAAGTAACCCAAGGTAGAACTTTAATAAGTGATTTGCCGTGCCACACCAACATTAGTTGTAAGCCAATTCTGCAAGCAAAAAAATTAAAAATTTATAATCTAGTTCTAGTTGAAGATCAAGACAATAATGAGCAGCATCGCCTAAAATATGAAAGTGAAGACCTTAAACGATGTTCATTGCAGACCAACAACATCGACAACGACGCCAATGCGCTAACCACAACATTCGAAGCCAATCCAACTATTAGAATTAATTCCATAAACAATGGCAATGAGCAGGAACATAGTAAATGTGCAGAAACAGAAAAAACTAATATTACAATTAACAAGCCCTTTGTGGGTACATCTCCCCTGTTAGAGGGCTTAGAGCATAACGAACCAGCAAATCATGCCGATTTCAATCTCACAGACACAGACTTAGAAAATAAACAAAGCGAAAGCTTTGTTGTAACCAGCGGCTATATACAGGAGTGTAAGTATTACTAGAAAAATATTTATTTTCAGAATAATAAGTGCCTTGCCTTTCAGCTATTTCAAATGCTCTCAAACAAGGAAATCTGAGTCCGGAACTTGAGGAAAAACTTGTTAGTATGCAGAAGCAACAAGAAAATGCTAATTCAACATGTACTGACGAGTGGGAATTATGCTCAAGAGGGACTGCAAACAACGAAGTACTTGCTCCAAATTGCCGTAGCTTTTCATCACGTGATCACAACACCGATGATGTTGAATGGAAAATTCGGCCTTCGTTAAAGCGTAATGCAATGACAACAAGTAGCCAATTTAATCGAAATTTAAAAAAATGTCGCAGACAAAATGAAGAAGTGGCCGAACTTGGAGAGCAAAAGCAATCGCAGTTGGAACGGCATAAAGAACTACTTAAAAAAAGTATTTTGCGTAAGCGTTCATTATTAGAACGAAATTTACAAAACGAAATACACGAAGATGTTCAAACCAAAGTCCAGAGACATGTGCGCCCCTTAAGTGTGGCTTCACCGGAAGAGCACAGTGAAAATGAAAGAAGTGGCGAACAAAATATGGACTTAAAACGGTATGCATTAAAATTAGCTATTCAAGCAATTTGACACATTTAACTTAACCCAAAAAAAATATTAGGACAGAGGCAAATGCGGAGAACAACAAACTTGGTGTCGGCAGGCCAAAGAAATTGACTAGAAGAAAGGAAAAATTGTATTGCGTTTGTCGTACTCCATATGATGACACAAAGTAAGCTTAAATACATTTTTTATTGGCCCCACCGCACTTGTAATTAACAATTTATAATTTTCTATTTAGGTTTTACGTGGGGTGCGACTTATGCAGCAATTGGTTCCATGGGGATTGTGTCAGTATTACCGAAGAGGCTTCGAAAAAACTGTCGGAATTTATTTGCATTGATTGCAAAAAGGCGAGAGAAACTCAACAGCTGTACTGCAGCTGTCGTCAACCATACGATGAGTCACAATTTTATATATGCTGCGATAAATGCCAGGATTGGTTCCATGGACGTTGCGTTGGAATACTTCAGAGCGAAGCTGAGTTTATTGATGAATATGTGTGCCCTGAGTGCCAGCGGAAAACAGATGCAAACGCCGCAAATATGAAAAAACTGGCCCCTGCTGAAATTGAAGAGCTAAAAAACTTAATCAAACAAATACAGGTAAAATAATATATAGAAAGTACACATTCGAATATTTGTTTTTAATAATGTAGGTTATTCATTATAAAACAACTGGGAAAGTTATAATCGAGTGCCTCAACTATCACATACCCGTTCCTAAGCTAACCATTATAACTTACTAATAGTCAAATTTAAACCATTTTGGGTCGCCGATAGATATCAAGAAATAAAATCAAAGTAGGAGCACAACGATTTGTTTTATAATAGTGAGCGTGAAACTCGGTTGAAGCAAACATTGGCTTCATAGGTACTAGTAAAATCTACATGTAAAATTTGAAATCTCTAGCTTAAAAAATATTGGCACCACCTGAACTCTCTAGCTCCTATAGTTTTTCAGTCACAGCGTTTACACTCACATACTCGTGGTATTATTCTTTAAACTTTTGTGATTTAATAAATTGTATTCTCATGTATCCTTTTTGCAGCAGGTTAAATTAAAAACAAGTCGCCCATGCATTAATTCATATTAATTATTTTTGTTGACAATCAAGATAATTTATTTCTCAGCTCAACTAATTCTTTATTTAATGAATTTTTTAGTTACACAAAAGTGCTTGGCCATTTATGGAACCGGTTGATCCGAAGGAAGCCCCTGACTATTACAAAGTGATTAAAGAGCCCATGGGTAAGCTAAGTGTAAAAAAAAGTTTTTTGAAATTAAAATTAAAAATTATCTTTTCCCAATTAGATCTCAAACGGATGGAAATCAAACTCGAATCAAACACGTACACTAAACTAGCAGAGTTTATTGGCGATATGACAAAAATATTTGACAACTGCCGTTACTACAACCCGAAAGAATCATCCTTTTATAAGTGTGCTGAGGCACTTGAGTCATTCTTTGTGCAAAAAATAAAAAATTTCCGGGAAAATGTTTTTGGCCAAAGTAGATAAAAGACCACTTAAGAAAAATTGATGTAGTTTGTAAATGATACACCTTACAATTTAAAAAAAAATCAAGTTTAATTTTTTATTTTTCAAATGTTACATAGAACATTTGATATATTTTATAAACTAAAAGATACTTATATTTTAATATAAGAGGCAATTTATGTACATATTAACCATATGAATGTGAAAAACTATTATATGAGTTGAAACACAGATATCTGTAATATAACAATATGCGAATAAATTTAATGTTCTCCAGACATTTGAAAAATTAAAATTAATTATTATAAGCCCTTTGTACAAAACATTAAAATGTAAATAAACACTATGCATTTGTTTTGATATTATCTTAACTATATATAGATGACTTTACCTATTAACTATCAATTATTTATCTACTGTTTTTGCTTGTGAGTATAAAAAGTAATTTATTTAATGGACTGTTTTTCCAACATTCTTTCTGGTACTTCAAAGAATAAAAAAATGCAAAAACTTGGCACCCCGGAGACTCCCCGGAATGTCAACACCTGGCCGGAGTCGGTCCTGATACCCACACCCATAATTGAACAATGTCATTGATCGATTTTCAATATTTTTTTACGAAAAATTTATTGAAACTCAAATCAACATTGTGATATTAATTTCAATAAGTTAAATTTCACTACTAAATTAAGTCTCAAATTAAATTTAAATCGAGAACTCGTTAGAAGCTTATAAATCTTGTTTGTGCAAAATTTCTAGCATACTTTAGGGGATCCGATCAAAAAGCACTTACTGACAGAAGCTCGCTTCCTATTGGTCCGCCAATAGGACGCCCTCAATCGGCAACCATTTTGAAAAAACAGCTGATTGCCAGACCCGTGCTCCGATCTTTGGGTACTTTCTAAGCTTTCTGTTCGCCTGGTACATCGAAATCACAATTGCCTAGCTTGGCTGCGAAAAATGTGGGCTGGCTTGATCGCAATTCGATGGGAAAAAGTAGGATTCATTGCATTGATGACCAGGAGAACAGAATTCACTAGTAGGTGTCTGAATTTAGATTGTTCCCATTGTCAGGGTCGCAGGCAGATTTTGGCTAAGGAGGTTAAATGGGGGCCCTTGACCCCCAAACCCCTCTTTCAGCGGACTACGCCTATGTGTGCCTTGGACAGAACTAACGGTTGTTTAAAGAACATCCCAAATTTTACCATGACGCTTACTAAGAATTATGTTCGCCTGGTGCTTTAAAATGAAAAATCTTCGATTTGCCAACCAACAAACTCAATTTTTCCCAGTCAAACCTGGCGATTTATGATTTTGAAACACCAGGCGAACAGAAAGCTCAGAAAGTGACCAACGATTTTAGCAGGTTTCTGGCGATCAGCTGTTTTATTCAAAATGGCTTCCGACCAAGAGAATCCTATTTGCCAGCCAATAGGAAGCGAGCATTTGTCAGTGAGCGCCATTTTAATAAATCCCCAAAAGATGCAATTAGTTTGGCAGCGAAACAGACTTATTGCATACAGCACTTATTGATTTCTATTGCAAGCCCAACGAACAGTTCCCTATTTTAACATTTAGAACTGTAGCTATGGGCATCTAAGTTCAAGAGAAAAAAACTACTTAGCAACTTAGCCCTTGTTACTATGGTAAAATATGTACACAGTAAACCTTTTTGTTGGACTAATACATCGAAAATATACTTATATTTTAAAGTCTTGCGATGGAGCCAGCTAAAGTAATTGGAAAACTGTAAGTTTTCATTACATATACTTAAGTTACTGCAAACTATGCAAAGTATACAATTTTAGGAAGGAGCAAGTGCGTATGGAACACAATTCGCGCCGGAGTTTTCCAAAAGTCTGGGCCCAAATATCAGACAAGAAAACTAACAAATTCTACCACCAAAATGAGATTGATTCTCAATTAAGTGACCAGCTTAAGCTTAAAGGTAAATGCCCGTTTAGATTTACAAACCTCTTGATCTACAAAGGTATCCACATAGACTTGTGCTCCTTCCTACACAACAACCAGGGCGAATGCAGATTCGTATCTCCAGAGATGTACCAAAACTTATTGGCTGTGTGTCGTTGCGGTCGAGCTCGGCAAGGCCATCATGTGGGCAAATGCCTACAGAGAGCGTTAAGTCCAGATTACGAGCGATCCGGGATACAGAAAAGCCCTCAAGAATCGTATCACCCGTTGAGAGTGCCTTGCACTTCAAACTGTAAGTTTTGGTTTCAAATTTAAATTTGTATTACTAAGATATACCGAGATTTTCAGCTAGCATTGGTTTTGTTGGAATCTCGAAAAGCTATCAAAAGCTCGAGCGTTCTATGCAGTATGTTTCTCCTGCCTACTCAATGCGGGGACCTCGAGTAACAGCAGTCCCATACCACAATATAATTATTGGCTAAGATATGCATGTATTATAAAGTTGCTTGTAGGGAATTACCAAACTAGATTTTCGATGACTCAAATAGGGAACTTCCAATGGTTCCACTACCTCCCTAGCAGACTCAACTAGTACAAAAACAAACTTAAAAAATGTATAGCGGTCATCTTATAGAACTGGAATTTCCAGAAACCTGTGTTCAGTGGCGTTACCATTTTATTCGCATATAGTAAATGTTATATATACATTTATTGAAATATAATAACATTAGTAAATATGATTTTAAATAAATTTTGCGCACCTACTGCAAATGTTATCACACCCCCCTTTATCGAGCGCTACAAACGCCACTGCTTTTTTTATATATGTATATTGTATAATGACATACAGACATCTGATTAAATGCATTCGATTTTTAAAAATAGGAGTGTGTTGTTTCAGTTTCACTCTAGCTACGAACGAAGTTAAAAGCTTGCGGATTTTAATAAAGATGGGCAGTAACTGGTATCCAATATTGATTGTGGCCTGTTTAAGTCGGTTGGGAGTTGCTCAAGAACCTCTTATTTTTCAAACATCGAACAACCCATTGGATAGTACTGCTCTAACAACGCCAAGGCCGATTTTCTCCGCCAGTTCCAACTTGGTATTGGTCAACAATGTAAGGATACCTGGTGCTATCACACCATTCGTTTCAGCACCGGCCCCGAACCAGGAATTTCTGAACTGCTTTGGTAGTTGCCCCACGACATCGCAGTATAGTCCCATATGTGGCAGTAATATGCAGCAATATATGAACGAGCAGAAATTCAATTGCGCCCGTTTCTGTGGTGCAGGTGAGTTTAATAGTTCGCTCCTTACCTTCGGATCAGCGTCTAACCCATCATTTTTAGACATACAAATAGTTCGACGAGGAAGTTGCGAGGGTCTTTTTGCGATGACTCGCGGCTGATATTCTTCAGACAACAACGAATACCAGTTTAACTTAGAAATACATCGGGCTCAGAGATGTTTTCGTCAAAGCAACAACTTTTCCGTAAAGTTCCCAGTTCATGAAAATTTGATAAGAACAAAGAGAGATGAGAAACTGTATATAGACGCCATATAGTGGTGTTACTAACACAAAAATAGGTATATAGAGAAAATATATGTGTATACGTACTTCTGAAAAACAATCTTGATAACTTGGGTTGACGCACTTGCACACAGTGTCGAAGTGGATTTAATAGACAGTTCCGGTCTGAATTTTGAAGAGAATACACGATGTTGTCGACGTATCACTTGGCCGTAATCACGGGTATATTATGCATACACATATTTGATCCCGTGTGAAAGTTCCCCATAACTAACCGTTCGATTTCCATTAAGCTGTGCTTTTTGGGTTTCTGCAACTCCAGGATATGGTAGTAGCCAGAGTTACCGGCCCAGTTTATCGTCGTCCAAACGCCACAATATTTACGCCCGTCCGCACCCATAACGGTGGGTACAATCACTCGACTTTTGGGCCCGGGAACAAAAACTATACCCGTGCTGTAGTATCGCCCACTTGGACAGTGCCAGCGAATCACCAACCCGCTTTCCAGGCTTCTGGACTTACAGCACCTTACAATCGAACTGCATTTGTCCCAAATGGCTGGGTATCCAGCAATAATCAACAGCAAGGAGTCCTTCCAAATGGCTGGATCCAACCAAACCAGCTCCAAGGTCAAGTCGGGACACCAGCACTTGTCTACGGCAAAGGCAACGGAACTGTTTATTCAGCGTACAATCAAACAGCCCATGGTGCTCCGCAAAGCGGGCCTGTAGTCAGTAAAAGACCTTACTCAAATCCTTATGGAAACCTTTCTATCTGAGCATTTAATTAACTTCCCCCAAATAAATCACCAAACTATTACATTTTTTCAAAAAACAATTTATTGTGCATTTGAATTGTTGCACGTAATCAAATCATCGGCATAAATATGGTTGCGTTCCGGTATTCCAGAAGTGTAAATTAATGTGTGTACAAATGATGATTTTCCCAAATAGGGGCTAAGTCAGGGGTGTGGATATTTGGGGCGGTGATTACGCCGATCACGGCATCAATGAAGTATATCAGCTTTGAACTATTAATAAACGGAGTACACTGCATATACATATGTGCAATGCGACGACTGACGTCAGGAAAATTGACTTGGAACTCAACCGATGATCTTTAACCGAAGAGGGTCCCACGCCGCCGTCAGAAGTTCCCACGCCGCAGTCCTGGAGTCCCACGCTGCAGTCAGTGCCCCACGCCGCAGTCAAAATCCCAATGAGTCCCTCGCCGCTGTCAAGTCCCTCCCTCGCTGCCGTCGTTATTTTGCATATCCCCCGCTGCAGTCAGAACATTCGAATCCCTCGCCGTCTGCCTCCATCGCCGCAGTCAATTTTGTTGATATATTTCCCAGCCGCTTTAAAGAGTAATATGCCTAGCGCCCTCGCCTAATCGCCCTAATAATCCCACGATGCAAATCTTGGCATCCCTCGCCGCAGTCTTTAGTCTCCATAGGTCCATCGCCGCCGTCAAGAGTTCGAATCCTTCGCCGCCGTCCTAACTTACTCCCACGCCGCAGTCAGTCGTTTGAGTATACATTATCCCACGCCGCAATCCAAATAAAAAACAATTCTCCAACAAATCTATAATCCTCACGAAGGGGTCCTCTTAGAGAAAAATAATTCGACCAGTGTATAGCGAAGACAAATCAGAGTGCAGTCCAACTGCAACATCGGTGCGAAGAAAGGGTACAGTTCGGCCATCAGTGCCGAGAACAGCAAAAAATGAAGAACAATCCCAAGCCAGTAGTACGAGATTAAAAAAACGTTTGCGGGTCGATAGAAATGATACTTCCAGCTTATGTGTTGCTCCAATTGCAGTTTATGAAGGATGATCCAAAGGGGGGTTTGAGATTTCTCATATCAAAAATGACCAAAGCGTGTGTGCTCCTACGTCGGATGGTGTTGCTAGTCTGTTCCAAATAGACCCAGGACGAATTTAATGACTTGGAGCCCAGTGAATACGGGTCGAAAGTAGTAGGTGCAAATTCGAAGGTATTGAATGTCAACACTGCCTGTGCCTCTGTGTGCTGCTGTCACTGCTCTCTGCCTTGGAACGGGTCTTGAAAGGGCCTCTGTAGTTCGAAACGCCACCGGACGCAGTGTTCACTTCTTACAGCTCTCACTGCCATGGATTTCGCCTTAAAAGTGGTTCTGCTGTATCTGATTCTGGCTGCTACTTCTAGACTGGACCGTCTAGCCTAGGGAATTGGTAATCCTGCTGCACTCTTCAGCGAAGTCGGACGTCTGGTTTGACTCTTAAGGCAACGGTTTACAAGTCATAGTATACATTACAGTGTTTGAAAAAAAAAAATGTTTACATTATCTACGAAAAAACATGTACAGGACAAGAATGCTAACTTGTTTGCTTATTACTGTATAACTAATAGAATGTGGATCTGAGCCTGAAATGGGTGGTACTTCGATCAGCAAGCTGCAATGATAGGTTGAAGAAACAAAAAAAAACTAAAAGTGTTCTTCAGTCGGCTGTACCGCGGGGCGCGTGTCTCTTGGATTCCCTTTGAGACCAACATGACGAATATGCCTGGAGATGCGCCTGGCATTGCAGCCAGATTCAGACACGTGGAGTAGTTTGAATGGGTTGTGGTCGTGGGCGTTCCTGAAAAGCGTATATACCTTTGTGTCTTGGGTGACCCTGCCTGCCGCTGTCGCTGTACATCGCTTTGGATTCCCTTTACGATATTTGTGCTGAAGCGAAGAACTCGACCAGAAGCCAGAGTGAGAGCTCGACTAGGACCAGGAGCTCAACGGGAAGCTCGACTGCTGTAGTACCACCTCGCAATTGATTCCCATTTGCGGTACGATGATCGACGGGCCAGGAGTTATGGGCTCAACTGGCGGAGCGTGGCGCGACCCATTGGCCACCCAGCTCGGTCTTCGAACACTAATCGCACTTGTTTCCCTTTGCGATGGATATGGTCTTTCTCGAATTCTGGACTACCTACGGAAGGAAAGTGCAAGTAAAACGACAACCCGCTCGAGGTGATCGACGTGCTCTGTCTCTCCTGCGCTCCGTTCTGAGAGTCTGGGTGGAGTTCGGCTAGGCTGTCTGGTCTGACCAATAGTCTTCAACTGCCGCTGCTGCACATCTTAAAATTCGAATGCTTGAACACTAATCGCAGTTGGTTCCCATGTGCGCGGTAAACGACTTGCTGCTACTCGCCGTTAGCTTCCGATCTGTCCGAATGTCATTCAACACCGAATGATGAACACTGCCGATCGCTGAAAGTGACAAGTGGTAGTTAGCGACGCTAGGCGAGGATGCCTGTGGCGCAGTTGCAGCAGCAGCCCTGTAACAACGACAACACATCAGCTCACTTCTCAGCGAATACTGGTGATGGTGCGGTGTAGCGGCTCTCGGTCCAAACGCATTTGATTCCCTTTAGCGTGGACCGAACGCACATGTCTGTGCGGTGCAATGCAGTACGTGCTTAGGCTCAGCTCAGCACATCACGGCGCCAGACCCCCACTCCAGTGTGGATCTTGCGTCCGGGGGGCAACCAAATGGACTTGGCTTGGCGCGGTTTAAGAAACAGTTGCTCCGGTCATCGAGAGGCTGTGCTAGGAACTGCCTTGCGATTGAGTTGACACCAGCAGACCTCTTCGGCAGAGACTTGGCTGCAATGTAAAAGCATAACATTCAGTACCAGCATAGGCGGCAGGACAACATTTCTGCATGCTTTCTGTGGTAATACGCGATGTTCACTCGACGTATTGTGCTCGTTCGCAGTAGCGGGTGCGCTTGAATTGCTTGTCGTTGTAGCGGCGGCGCGCACTACTTGCTAAGAGAAGCCTAACTGGATGGACTTGATGCATCGTTTTGGGTTCCCTTTAACGATTTGCAGCAGCACAGCAGTAGACTCGGCCAGCTAGGAGCGGGGCACATCTTCAACCGACCAGTCCAAGGCTTGACCCTGCCTTTCGGTTCGAATAAAACTAAGTCGATGCCCACAGGCACACTCAACTGTGCGGCACCGCTGCAAGAAGTGCAAAATAAATTTATGACTACTAAGGTTCTCACTCTGGGAAGGGTCACACGGCCCCCGGCCAATAGACACGATGCCCCAAGCCAAATGTCGTTCCTGCTACAAATGAATCCACGTCCTGGCCCGAAAAATCGCTGAAAAACAAGTATAAGCGGGATCTAGTTGGGTTCAGACCTGACCTGCATTTCAATTCAAATTCGACGTGTAGTATGGATGTTGGACTGCGACGACAGAGTGTTGGTGTTATTGCTTTCAAGTTGGCATTTGATTCCCATTGCCTCAAGAAATTTTGCTACATGTTCTCGGTAGGTTTCAATACAGGCGAATGTGCACAGGTAAGTCAACAGTGTGATAGGTCGGAACGGCTGTGAGAAACTCAGGTCTTGGTATAAACACTGTAATGAATTCATAAATAAGCCTCTAGTTCACTGGGGAAGGAAATAGGAACTTTAGTTTAAAATGCGCATTCTGACGATCCAATCGTGGCTTAAAAACTGTCAATACAGGGCCCGGGAATAGACGTTTTGCTGTTGCCTTCGGCTCATAAGGTATGGATGAGATGTGGGCAGGCACAGTCTACTGCAGCCACATTCGCTACAAGACAGAAATATTTCGTTGGACATACTAAAAATAATTTACATGTGATCCAGTAACTGTTGTCGATCAATTCCCTTGCATCTTAACTGTCCACCAATCTGTATTTCTATAAAATACGAAAGAAAAGGGTTTCGATTGCAAATTTCATATCGATTTCGATTTGTTGTTAGCTCCTCTTGCGACTTTCGTGTTTTCCCTCGTGTCTTGGTATCAACACTGTAATGAATACATTAATGAGCCGCTACTTTACTTGGCAATGATGAAAAGGAACTTCATATGGAAATGCTTATTTAGTCGGTCCAAAGTTGCTCAAACATAGTCACTCAGAGGCAGAAAGGCAAGTGTGTTCGGAGTGGTCGACGGTTCGCTGATTTTAACGTCAATAACGGATGAGATATGGGCAGGCACATTCTACTGCAGCCATATCGCTACAAGACAGAAATATTTTGTTGGTCATAGGAAAAATAATTTACATGTAATGGGCGGGCCGCCTAGTAAGGGTTGACTTGCATTTCCCTGCAGTTTATCTGTCCACGAATATGTATTTCTATAAAATACGAAAGAAAAGGATTTCGATTGCAAATGTCTTAGCTTTACGATTTTTCAGTTGATCCAAGCGTTATTTTCTTGCGACTTAATCATTGTGCTTCTCTGCAAATCTACTAGAAGAAAATCCGACATAAGAGTAGCTACCGTAGAAGCAGTCCGTTTTCCCAGCTGCCTAGAGCAAAACGCTAAAAATAATATAACGGCAGCATTTTGAATGATTTGGGTATCAAAAACGATTTACGCTTTGGCTTTCATCCCATTGATGTTTCAGGCCTTCGAATTCATGAACTCTGTGTAAGAGGTGGGCGTCCTCCACCGTATTTGCTCCCATTCTGTTATGCAGATGCACGCAGGCACCGTTCAACTGCGCCGCATCGCTAGAAAAATAAACGAAAAGTGAAGCTCGTGCCTAGCCTACTAACTTTTTTCCGCGGGCTTCTGATTCAATCTCTGACGATCCGAGCCTGCTGCCCTGAAGACATCCAACACATTGGCGAGTGCAGAGTAAAGTGTGGTGCCAATCGAACACTGGCACCCACAGGAACCGATCAACTGTGACGCGCCGCTACAAAGATGAAATAGGCCTTTCTAGCCTATTGATTAGGAAAATGGGAAGGGCAAATGCCGAGGGTCCAATCATTTTGCCTGCCAAAGTTATAAAAGGGTAAAAGAGAAAAAGTCCAACAAAGTACGCCGAGTGAAGACAGTTGGGACCATGTACACCCCAGTCAAAGTTGAGAAATTCGATGCTTGCCAGTTCTTAATTCACGAGAATAATCCCAGACGGTACACAAGAAGGTGCGACATGAGCTCCTCAAAATCCGAACCGCAGAATCGTAGTGTTATTTCGATGACATACGACGACGACTCCGGTGTTCTTTTCGCTGTAAATCTGTTCAAAAAGCAATATTTTGTTCGCAGCTGATATACCAAATACCGTGTGTCTGTGTGGATGGGTTGGTGGTCAGCAGCTGCGAAGCGTTCTATGCAGTATTGGTGGTCGGTGGTTGGCGAAAGCACGAGAGCTTCAAACGCAGGTAAGCTGATGAGAGCTGGAGCTGCTGCCGCGCGCATTCCGCCTTGTCCCCAATGTTCTGTCCGCTGCGACTTGCATGGGCATTGTCGTTGGCATTGCCTTGCGGAGGAGACTCGGAGGTGGTTGCTGCTGCTGCTCCCTGCTCCGGCGATCTGTGCAGAATCGGCCATCGGCTGGTTTGCGGAACTCACTGCCAGGTGGTAGAGGTGGGGGTGATTCGGACAGACGTGGACTCACTCAGTTACTCAATAACGCTACGACATCGCCGGAACGACGATCGGGTATCTTCTTTACGAGCCACAAATTCATGGTTGCCATAGCTGATTAGCTGATTCTTTACCGGGATTCGGCGGTATTTAGTGGCCCTCTGCGACGTAGTTGCTTGTTTGTGTTCCGTTCCTCCTCATCGTTGCCAATAACGTGCGAGGAGCAGGAAACTGCAAAACAAAATCGATTATAGGTGCGGGTTATGTCAAACGGGGAGTGGGGTGGCGGTTTGCTTAGCGACAAATCTTTGTATGAGTGAGTAATAAACAAAGGCAGTATTGATTTTAACAGTGTTTCATTACAATAATTTTATTTTAGGATTTATCAAATATCAGTTCTGGATGCTTAATTTAAGTACACTTATAACTTGGGTTTTTTTTGCTTTACGTTTACTTTACATTATTGCCCCACTTTCTATCGCTAAAGATTCAATGTGAACCATAAGTACCTCCCAGAAATGCCTGAAATGGCGATGACAAGTTTTCGAATTCAAATTCGAAATCGAATTTCTCGACACATCGGACAACAAAAGTAGCTCAACTTGGTGTACACAAAAATAGCACGAGCGCTCATGGACACATACATATGGATGTATGAACACTACGTATGTGTGTGTCTGTATCGAGTTTCTTTGTCTCTGTCTAACCGATTTCGTGACGTTGTGGAAATGCCCGTCTGCGGCCACTAGTTTCGCCACATTCATAATTATTAACTACGTAACTTATTTAGAAGTATTATACTGATTTACAAACCGAGTGTGCTCCGGGACCAAAGGCTCTTGCTGGTGGCTTTTCGCATGGATGACTCACACCACTCTCGACTTGAAGGCCGTTTTCTCAGCGTCTCTCACACTCTTCCAATCCTTCACTCTTTCATTACAATCTATAACAGCCTTGCACATGTTTGCGACTGCAAATGAGAAATTTTGTTTTCGTAATAACACTAGTTTAACAGGTTTCAAAAAGGCTAAAGCTAGAGGGGAAACGGTTCTTCGTCTGAAAACCAACTGTATTGCGCCTTCCTGCCACCATTTTGAGTGCGTTTGTGTGTCACGCACGCACACACACGCGTTCAGACGGGCACCATACAGTCTTCTCTTTCTAACTGGCCACTGCAATGGCGCAGCTGTTGTTGTTGTTGCTGTTACTCGTCCCCGAATAACTGTTGCTGGCGTCGGGGTTGTTGTTGCTGCTGCTTAAACTGCGCATAAAACTATCGAGGCTGCTGAGCTCGCTGCTCCACAAATTACTCTCTGCCTCGACCTCCGCGGCAGCCTTGGCGCTCGTGGCCGCCACGTCATTGGCGCAGTGGGTCCTGCCGTGGGGCACGAACCGAGTCTGCATCTCCAGCCAGCGACTGAAGCGCTCCTGCTGCTTCCTACGGAGCTCGTGCTCCGCGTGGAGCAGAGCCGTCGACAAAATGGCGTTCACGCGCAAGTCGCTTCCAGCGCCCCTTAACTTGCGACGCATTTTCTGGCGCTTTACGCGGAAGTTTCGGACCCAGTCGGTGAGGGTCTTGGGGTTATCAATGGCATCGCACTCGTCGTAGTACGCCACCATTTAAATGCTTTGTTCGGTTTCTTTGTTTGCGACGATATGAGGAAGAATATTTTTGGGATTTTGGTATACACACACACCTTTACTGTTACTGTAACTGTATCCGTCAACGGACGGCTTCAACTTGTACTTTTAAAAACTTTTTTTCAACTGTGGCGAGCGCGTGAGAGCGCGCTGTTTTATACCTGCATGTGCAGTGCTGCCAACTCGGTTCTTAAAAGAGCCCGAAGTAGCGACGCGTTCTGCTCCGCCGTAGCAAGGTGGCAGCACCTGCTTTGGTGGGGATTTGTTTTATCAGGATTTGTGGCCGATACCTGGCACTATGGAACGGGATGAGCCCCCAGAAACGAGCATTGACGTATGGGGAATCGTGGGTCGATTTCATTTTCTACCGCTCTGCAAAAGGTGGCCAGAAAATTGCGTTTGAAAATGGCATTTTCCTACATATTTTTTAGTAAGCTGCCCGTTTTTGCGTCCCTAGGAAAGTACCTAAAAAATACCACAAAAATATACCTACTCCGAATCAGTTGGGTGTTTCTCTTAGGGGCAAAAGTATTCGATAAAACACAGAAATCTCTTCCCCCGAATTCCGCCCATAGATTTCTGGGTCACCAGGACACAAAACAACGTGGAAGTGGAGACTTAGAACGAAATCGGGGGTATAAGCCAAACGGAAGATTATCCCAAATTTTTAAGTTACGAAATTAAGTTGTTATACCCTTGCAGAGAGTATTATGATTTCAGTCAGAAGTTTGCAACGCAGTGAAGGAGACGTTTCCGACCCCATAAAGTATATATATTCTTGATCAGCATCCCTAGAAGAGTCGATGTAGCCATGTCCGCCTGCCCGACTGTCCGTCCGTTTCTACGCAAACTAGTCTCTTTTAATCGCTTTTAAAGCTATCGGGCTGAAACTTTCCCAAAAGTCTTATTTCTTTTGCAGGTAGTATTTAAGTCGCAACCAGCCGGATCGGACAACTAAATACTATAGCTCCCATAGCATAATCGGAAAAAAAATGTTTAATTATATATTTGGTGTTTTTTAACATATAACCTCCTACGCTTGGAAATAACATTTTTTAATTAGTTCTGAATTTCGAATTTAATTTTATCAAAATCGGTCGACTATATCATATAGCTGCCGTAGGAACGATCGGAAAATTGGCTTCGGTGTTTTTTGACATATTATCTTATGCTATTGGGAATATCATTTTTTTAATTATTAAGAATATCGAATTAAATTTATTAATTATAACTGCAAGGGTATAAAAACTTCGGCTTGCCGAAGCTAACTTCCTTTCTTGTTTTTTATTTATTATTGGAACTACTTTCTACCTGACTCTGGTACAATAAGGTTCACACTTGTATTACTCCTGCCTATACACATTATTAAAAATTGGTAAGATGCGGCGATGCAAGCCAACGCGGAATGCCCTTGTTACAATGGGAAATTGAATTCAAGATATGGTAGTGTTGCACTTGTAATCGTATCAGGGTTGCTTTTTCTATGTCCGTCAAATTAGCGTCGGTGACTTAGCGGCGCTGGCGGAACGGTGGAATCTGGAACACGGGGCCAATTTTTATTTTTTGTTTTTCTCGGCTTTTTGGGGCCGAATCGAAAAATATTAAATGCAAAATTGTTTAGAATAAAAATATCTATCGATCTAGATAGTTTGCAAACATATCCGACTTCTAGAAATTTATTAAAAATCTATTTAAAAAATCGGGTCCCCACAATTTCGTCTATTGCTCCCCTCACAGAGGTTGTACCAATATGCACGGTAAACCTGGTTATTGGGCGTTAATTCAAGTTTCTTGTCAGAAAGTATCATTGAGCTAAAGCCGTCAGTTTTTGAGAAAATAGCTTAACAGTGAAGGCACCTCGGATTTTCCCCATACAAAAAAGTGGGGCAAATAGTAAATTGCACAGGGCTCCACTCTCAGACGTTGTACCAATATGCACGGTATATTGGCAGATTGGGGATCGCCCAAAGCAAGTTCAGTGCAAAAATCATAACGATAAAGCCGTCAGTTTTTGAGAAAATCGCTTTACAGTGGGGGAAGATAATAATTAAAAGAAGTAGCGCCAGATTAAAATTTGAACCAGTAAGTTCCAAGACATGAACCACTATGTAAGAAATGTATTCAGGACACTAACCATATGGCAAAAAATAATGTTTCGACGCTATCTCTATTTTTAATTAATTTGACTTTCACAGACGTTGTACCAACATGCACGGTACCTCGTTGGAAAGGAAATTCATTTTGCTAACTATCAAATGCGGTTCGGCGAACGAAAAGCCGTCAGTTTTTGAGAAAAAAGCATAGTGCGTTGTGGGCATCTCATTTGTAACAAAATTGTTCACCCTGTTCTAAGCTTCCAAGACACTAACCATATGGGAAAAAAATAATGTTTCGACGCTATCTCTATTTTTAATTAATTTGACTTTCACAGACGTTGTACCAACATGCACGGTACCTCGTTGGAAAGGAAATTCATTTTACTAATTAACAAATGCGGTTCGGCGAACGAAAAGCCGTCAGTTTTTGAGAAAAAAGCATAATGCGTGGCTTGCATCTCATTTGTAACAAAATTGTTCACCCTGTTCTAAGCTCCCAAGACACTAACCATATGGGAAAAAATAATGTTTCGACGCTATCTCTATTTTTAATTAAATTGACTTTCACAGACGTTGTACCAACATGCACGGTACCTCGTAGGAAAGGAAATTTATTTTGCTAACTAACAAATGCGGTTCGGCGAACGAAAAGCCGTCAGTTTTTGAGAAAAAAGCATAGTGCGTTGTGGGCATCTCATTTGTAACAAAATTGTTCACCCTGTTCTAAGCTTCCAAGACACTAACCATATGGGAAAAAAATAATGTTTCGACGCTATCTCTATTTTTAATTAATTTGACTTTCACAGACGTTGTACCAACATGCACGGTACCTCGTTGGAAAGGAAATTCATTTTGCTAACTAACAAATGCGGTTCGGCGAACGAAAAGCCGTCAGTTTTTGAGAAAAAAGCATAATGCGTGGTTTGCATCTCATTTGTAACAAAATTGTTCACCCTGTTCTAAGCTCCCAAGACACTAACCATATGGGAAAAAAATAATGTTTCGACGCTATCTCTATTTTTAATTAATTGGACTTTCGCAGACGTTGTACCTACATGCACGGTACCTCGTTGGAAAGGAAATTCATTTTACTAATTAACAAATGCGGTTCGGCGAACGAAAAGCCGTCAGTTTTTGAGAAAAAAGCATAGTGCGTTGTGGGCATCTCATTTGTAACAAAATTGTTCACCCTGTTCTAAGCTTCCAAGACACTAACCATATGGGAAAAAAATAATGTTTCGACGCTATCTCTATTTTTAATTAATTTGACTTTCACAGACGTTGTACCAACATGCACGGTACCTCGTTGGAAAGGAAATTCATTTTGCTAACTAACAAATGCGGTTCGGCGAACGAAAAGCCGTCAGTTTTTGAGAAAAAAGCATAATGCGTGGTTTGCATCTCATTTGTAACAAAATTGTTCACCCTGTTCTAAGCTCCCAAGACACTAACCATATGGGAAAAAAATAATGTTTCGACGCTATCTCTATTTTTAATTAATTGGACTTTCGCAGACGTTGTACCTACATGCACGGTACCTCGTTGGAAAGGAAATTCATTTTACTAATTAACAAATGCGGTTCGGCGAACGAAAAGCCGTCAGTTTTTGAGAAAAAAGCATAATGCGTGGTTTGCATCTCATTTGTAACAAAATTGTTCACCCTGTTCTAAGCTCCCAAGACACTAACCATATGGGAAAAAAATAATGTTTCGACGCTATCTCTATTTTTAATTAATTGGACTTTCGCAGACGTTGTACCTACATGCACGGTACCTCGTTGGAAAGGAAATTCATTTTACTAATTAACAAATGCGGTTCGGCGAACGAAAAGCCGTCAGTTTTTGAGAAAAAAGCATAATGCGTGGTTTGCATCTCATTTGTAACAAAATTGTTCACCCTGTTCTAAGCTCCCAAGACACTAACCATATGGGAAAAAAATAATGTTTCGACGCTATCTCTATTTTCAATTAATTTGACTTTCACAGACGTTGTACCAACATGCACGGTACCTCGTTGGAAAGGAAATTCATTTTACTAATTAACAAATGTGGTTCGGCAAACGAAAAGCCGTCAGTTTTTGAGAAAAACGCATAGTGCGTTGTGGGCATCTCATTTTTACCAAAATTTTAGCTAGGAACACATTAACCTTATATCGATACCCTATATCGATACTTCGATAAAAACGAATGCACGAGGCCTGGAGAAGAAATAATTAATATATTTTACTAAAACTCTTAAAATGGGAATTTCTAAAAAACTACTGACCCGATTTTAATAAATAATACATCAAATTGATCAGGTGTGCGAGTATAATCGAAGGTATGTCTTTATTTCGTTGAAAATATTATTAAACATAATTTCGTTTTTATGTATTATGGCGCCAAGACGTTGCCAGAGCGCAAGGGCAGCTCCTTCAAATGCACGAGGGCTGGAGAAGAAATAATTAATATATTTTACTAAAACTCTTAAAATGGGAATTTCTAATAAACTACTGACCCGATTTTAATAAATAATACATCAAATTGATCAGGTGAGCGAGTATAATCGAAGGCATGTCTTTATTTCGTTGAAAATATTATTAAACATAATTTCGTTTTTATATATTATGGCGCCAAGGCGTTGCCAGAGCGCAAGGGCAGCTCCTTCAAATGCACGAGGGCTGGAGAAGAAATAATTAATATATTTTACTGAAACTTTTAAAATGTGAATTTCTAGTAAACTAGAACTATATCAAATTGATCAGGCATGTCTTTAATTCATTAAAAATATTCTTTAACACAAGTCCGTTTTTATTGGACTTTTTTTTATTTTATTAAAGTATTTTATAAAAAAACAATTGTAATGAAAATCGGTGGGAAACAGCATTGTGTAGCTGACCCCGTTTAAGGAACTCAGAATTTGTACAAAATACACGAATTTGTCATACCCTACAAAAAATAAAATTAAAAAAACTCGATATTTTCCTTAGTGTATTTTATAAAAAAACAATTGTAATGAAAATCGGTGGGAAACAGCATTGTGTAGCTGACCCCGTTTAAGGAACTCAGAATTTGTACAAAATACACGAATTTGTCATACCCTACAAAAAATAAAATTAAAAAAACTCGATATTTTCCTTAGTGTATTTTATAAAAAAACAATTGTAATGAAAATCGGTGGGAAACAGCATTGTGTAGCTGACCCCGTTTAAGGAACTCAGAATTTGTACAAAATACACAAATTTGTCATACCCTACAAAAAATAAAATTAAAAAAACTCGATATTTTCCTTACTTTTAATAAACGCTGCTGAAACAAACTTGCGCTGCGTAAGAAGCTCAGGAATCTGCATGCCAAATCCCAATAGCCTAGATCTTATAGTTTCCAAGATTTCAGCGTTCATCCGGACGGACATGGCTAGATCGACTTGGCTAGTGATCCTGATCAAGATTATATATACTTTATGGGGCCGAAAACGCTTCCTTCTGCCTGTTACATACTTTTCGACGAATCTAGTATACCCTTTTACTCTACGAGTAACGGGTATAAAAATAAAAATTCGACGCATTTACTTTAGATGTTTTTATTTCTTCATATGTACATATTTATTTATTCGGAAATTTTTAGATCAGCCTTATCGACGGCCGCCTCCTGGCTAGCCGCCTCCTGGATAGCCGCCTCCAGGCTAGCCGCCTCCTCGCTAGCCGCCTCCCGGCTAGCCGCCTCCTGATTTGCAGTCTTGCGGCGCTTCTGCGGCCTTTTGGCCTTTCGTTGTTTGCGTTTGGGGGGGGGAGCCCCTCCCTCGCCATCTCCAACGATGAACTTGTCTACGTTCTGTAAATGGGAAGAAAAAATTATTAACAGTTCGTTTAAATTATTACATATAAATTACTTACGCACTTCACCAGCAGCACCCTCGACATTTTCTTAGTAAATAAAAGTTCCCGCGAATCGGGAGTGATGCCACACTTTCAGCTTGCCTTTATCGAAGTATCGATATAGGGTATCGATATAAGGTTCATGTGTTCTTAGTTACAATTTTGGAACAAATGAGATGCCCACAACGCACTATGCTTTTTTCTCAAAAACTGACGGCTTTTCGTTCGCCGAACCGCATTTGTTAATTAGTAAAATGAATTTTCTTTCCAACGAGGTACCGTGCATGTTGGTACAACGTCTGTGAAAGTCAAATTAATTAAAAATAGAGATAGCGTCGAAACATAATTTTTTGCCATATGGTTAGTGTCCTGAATACATTTTTTACATAGTGGTTCATGTCTTGGAACTTACTGGTTCAAATTTTAATCTGGCACCACTTCTTTTAATTATTTATCTTCCCCCACTGTAAAGCGATTTTCTCAAAAACTGACGGCTTTATCGTTATGATTTTTGCACTGAACTTGCTTTAGGCGATCCCCAATCTGCCAATATACCGTGCATGTTGGTACAACGTCTGAGAGTGGAGCCCTGTGCAATTTACTATTTGCCCCCCTTTTTTGTATGGGGAAAATCCGAGGTGCCTTCACTGTTAAGCTTTTTTCTCAAAAACTGACGGCTTTAGCTCAATGATACTTTCTGACAAGAGACTTGAATTAACGCCCAATAACCAGGTTTACCGTGCATATTGGTACAACCTCTGTGAGGGGAGCAATAGACGAAATTGTGGGGACCCGATTTTTTAAATAGATTTTTAATAAATTTCTAGAAGTCGGATATGTTTGCAAAGTATCTAGATCGATAGATATTTTTATTCTAAACAATTCTGCATTTAATATTTTTCGATTCGGCCCCAAAAAGCCGAGAAAAACAAAAAATAAAAATTGGCCCCATGTTCCAGATTCCACCGTTCCGCCAGCGCCGCTAAGTCACCGACGCTAATTTGACGGACATGCTTTTTCTTGGCGCGAAATATACGAAAAAGTCAGGCGAAAGTGTTCTGGCTCCATTCACACTTATTGGCCACTCATCTCACCCGCACACGAGAGCTCATCCGGACGGAGTGCAATGGACAAGTGCGAGGTGTTGGCACTGGAGGCCGAGAGCCAAAGCGATCGGTTTAGTTTGCCGTGGAACTTGGCTGATCGTGGACGCAATAACGCAATCCGGTGGAAGATCAGTGGCATCAGGAAAGGAAAGCGGTGGGGGAACTGTGAACGTGAGAAATTGGCACACACTGCCAGCGGTGCGAAGAAACTATGTACAACACATCCAGAATTTCCAGCACAATATCCAAATAAACAAGTCACGCGAGTGCCGCAATATCACACTAATTACGGGTAGAACAGATTCCGAGTATCCACACAGATTGGCCAGGGATTAATTATTGGCGTGCCATGAGTTATTGACGATCACCACCCATCTCTGCGGGTAGGTAATCAACCCCTTCAAGGGGGCGGAGGAATCGATCGACAGCCGGAGCCAGCCGAACAGACTCGGACGCACCACAAAGTTTATTATTGCTTGGGCCCCATTGAGTGTAAACAAATAGCCGCAGACAGAAGTGGCGTCGTGAAGATGGAGAACGTGCGCTTTTCGATTATTGTAAGTGAAGCGACTAGCGAGTCCCACTGCTAGCCCTCCGCTAATTCCTTTGTTGGCCTTGACAGGAGAACGACCTGAAGTGGAACTCGGAAAGTGATCAGGCGGCGGACGTGGACCTGCTTCTGGATAGGCGGAGCATCTCTAGCGAGGCAAACAGTGCTGGTGTCTTCAGCGACGAGGCGCATGAGATCTTCGCGCGCCAACAGCAGAATCAAGTCCTCTGGGATTTCGAGGAGATTGAGGAAACTCTGACCGCGGCTCCGGGCGGCCAGCAAGTCCTGGAAATGGTCCGATCTGGCTGCTTCCTGGGTGAGTACTTTCGCTAGGCTCCTTCTGTTTCCGACATTATGTTTTGCGACTCCCTCAGAGCTAATCACCGACTCTGGCGAGTGCAACCTGGCCCTGATATGCTGCTCGGCTTTTGGGAGTGTGGAAAATATAAGTTTTCTGCTAAAGCACTATAATGTGGACCCCAACGTGGCGGACAGCCGGGGACGAACACCACTGCACTTCGCCTGCTGCCGCGCCAACGCTCTTATAGCCAAAGTTCTGCTCGACTACGGCGCCGACCCGAATCGCTGGGATGCAAAAAAGGAGGTGACGTCGCTCCACTGCGCGGCCAGGTAAGAGGCCGAGCGAAAAATCTGTTCCACATCTGTGCACAGCACTGCGAAGCTAACCACACATGGTTCTAATTAAGCTTTTTTACCATAGCTCCAAGAGTGTGGAGTGCATCCTCCTGCTACTGCGGCGAAAGGCAAACATTAACATCGGCATTGAGAAGCGTTCCGCCCTGCATTACGCCATCGACGTCAACGCAGTAGACTGCGTTGAGATCCTGCTAAAATACGGAGCCGACCCGAATACCCCCCAAGTATACACGGAGACGCCACTCCACACCGCAAGCTCAGCGGGATTTGCTAAATGTGTCCAGCTGCTTCTTAGCCACAACGCCGACGTGCGATCTCAGTTCGGAGAGGGAAAGGTCACGGCTTTACACTTGGGTAAGCTACGATTATATAGGCGGTACAGCGGTTAAGCTAAATAAGTTAAATCAGTTGGAGGTGCATACCACCAGGTATAGAGTTCTCAGAATGGGTTTTGTTTGTTTCCAGTACGAATTAAAAAAGTTTTGATCTCACAAACTTTTTTTTTAAAGATAACGTTAAAAGTTTTGAAACTAAAAATCTTTTAAACTTAACTAATAACAAGTTATTTTTGTTAGCATTTGATTATTTAAAATAAATTGCAACACTTTATTTAGTTTGACAAGAAAAATCTAACGAGAATATTTTTGAAAATAGTTGAAAAGTGTTTGATTTTGTCCCTTAAAAAGCCAAATGATCGCTTAAGGTTCTCTTGAATTGCAGCTGCCGAGAACGACTACGTGGAATGTGCTCGTCTGCTCCTGGAACATGGGGCTGAGGTGGATTGCCGGAACGCCAGTCACCAGACGCCCTTGCACCTTGCCTGCCTTTCGCAGTCGGTCGGAACTGTGGACCTTCTCATATCGTATGGAGCAGATGTGAACGCCGTCTATCGTGACGGCAGAACGTCACTGCATGCGGCCATCGTAAAGCAATCGAGATGCCTGGACTGCTGCAATGCCCTGCTGAAGGCGGGAGCGGATGTAAACAAGGTAGGCGGCAACCTTATTATTAAAATTGGAAGCGTCATTTAAAAACCAAAATTTTTATTTATTAATACCTACAGCGGTTTGAATAACATTTAAACATTTAACATTTTAAAATCATTCTGAAAATAGATGCACTATGTCATAACAACAATTGCCCTTTTCCTTACTTATAAATACACCACTAAAAGTACATTACGAATTTGAAAATTCAACAACATTGAAGGTTTATTAAAAGTAAAACCATGAAAAAGCCTCAGGAGAGCGCTTGGCATGGTCGTTATAATGTTCCATGAAAAATGAGCAAATATATGCCTAAAACGAATACCTGGTCTTAAAACCGGTATTTAATAGAGTATAAAAACAAGAGTCATATATGTGCCCCTAAAAATCATGTCTATATTTTCAGGCAGATAACTATGGATATACACCGCTTCACATTGCAGCCCTTAATGAATTTAGCAGCTGTGTGTACACGTTCATAGGTAAGAAATCTTTATAGTTGCGATACCTGATTGAATTACTTGTCTATGCATCCTCAGAACATGGAGCAGATATCACCGCCAGGACCGATGGACGTGTCTCAGCCCTTTCATTTATAGTTCGAAGGACTCCCGAGATAATACCCAAGCTTATGCAAAAGCTGGACAGTTCGATAAAGGCAAACGACCAGGAAATCGGCGACGTTGACTGTCAGATAAAGCTAGACTTTAAGCTCCTGGTACCCAGTTCATCAATGGAGCGTGGTGAAACGGAGCTGTTACTCTCCCTAATAGAAGTAGGACAGAAGCGCATCCTCATGCACCCGCTTTGCGAGACTTTCCTCTTTCTAAAGTGGCGCCGCATCCGTAAGTTCTTTCTCATGAGCCTGGCTTACCACACGCTCTTTGTGCTACTCTTCACATTATACGTTATACGGGTATACGTCCGTTGTTGTAAGGAGGGGGAGTTGTGCGTGGCACCGGGCTACGTTTGCACCATTGGATACCTGGTTATTATTCTAAACCTCATTCTGCTGGGCAAGGAGGTGTTCCAAATGGCCCACGGCCTGCGCGGCTATGCAAAGTACTGGGAGAACTGGCTGCAATGGACCATCGGCTGTGGAGTGCTGTTATGTGTTTCCCCAGAGACTGTCCGGACTAACGATTTGACAGCGGTACCAGTTTGGCAGCATCACGTGGCAGCTGTTGTGATTTTGCTGGTCTGGCTGGAGCTCATGATGTTGGTGGGGCGATTCCCCATATTTGGTGTATACGTTCAAATGTTCACAAAAGGTTTGTAAACGCATATGTAGGTGTGATGAAAAACTATTAATAAAACGCTCATATGTATCTATTTAGTCGCCGTGAACTTCGCGAAGTTTTTGCTGGCCTACATATGCCTATTGGTGGCTTTTGGTCTCAGCTTTGCCGTTCTGTTCAACGATTATCCCGCATTTGAGAACATTACGTGGACTTTCTTGAAGTCCATCACCATGATGTCCGGCGAGCTGGAATTTGAGGACATATTTTATGGAAATTACGCCGTCAAGTTTCCGGTCACCGCTCACATTATATTTCTGTCCTTCGTGCTGCTCGTTACAGTGATCCTAACTAATCTGATGGTCGGATTGGCCGTCAGCGACATCCAAGGCCTGCAAGTAAGCGCCACCCTTGACCGACTGGTTCGGCAAGCGGAGCTGGTGTCGCGACTCGAGAGCCTCTTCTTTTCGCGGCTGCTGCGCAGTGCCCCCACTAACCTGATTCAACTGTGTAAACGGAGTGCTCTTCTGCGCACTTCCCGGGACAAACTACAGTTTACTATCCGGCCCAACGACCCCCGCGACAATCAGCTACCCGAGGACATCAAGTTAAACGTCTATAAACTGGTGGCCGAACGGCGCGACAGAAACCAGAGTCTCCGACGGCGCCAGTTTGAGAACAACTACAACTTTTTCAGCAGGAGCTTGCAGCGTCAGCAGGACCCGCTTCAGAGGGATTCGCTCCAGCCAGAACCGGCCGTGACGACCCCGAAAAAGACGCCGCAGAATATCTTCCACATGCACGAGCTTCTGCGTCCCCGATCAGCCACGAATGTGCCTCAGCAGTTGCGCCAGGAGCAGGAGGGAACGGTCCAGCTGAAGAACCAGGCGAATGTCCTAAGCGCCATGCAAGCTGAAGTACAAGCCATCAAGGCGGAGCTGGGTGAACTGGTGGCCAAATTTGAGCGCTTCTCGGAGAACGCAACTCGCAAGCTAAACTACAGTGCCGACGAATTATGCCGCCTGCGCCAACGGGGTCAGTCGGTGGCCTTAAGTCATAACCGTCACCATCGCTAAATCCTGTTCCGAGTTAGTTTTATTCCTATTAACAATTAAAACACAATCAGAAAGGAATCGCAATCGAATGCTGGGATGTTTAGCGAGTGAGCCATTTGTCGTTGCTCTGGTTCCACACAAGAGTTTCCTCACTGGGCAGGGGATCGCCCGGTAAAATCCTGGTCCAGCTCTGAGTAATCGGATTATATGCGAAGTTCTTGGAATTTGCCGGCGGAGGAGGTGCGGTTTGCGTCACGACCGGGGGACGAGTGATGGGAACGATATTGGGAATGACGTTTGCAACTCCCACACTTTTGTCGTTGGTGATGTACTCAACCTGAGACTTTGGATTCGGGTTTTCCCATGGAGCACCGAACAACAAGACAGGGCAGAGGAAAACCAGAAGAGCTGCGAAGGCGATGACCATAGGGTATGAACATACACTTACGTACTTATTGGCTAGGCTTTATATGAAAGACTTACTAAAAAAGTAGGACATTATTCCAGAATAGATTTTAAAAAGACCCTCTTGGAGTAACAACTTTCAGATTCTATAGCAATAACAAGAGGCAAACAGGCATACAATCCGATTGCGACTGTCTGGGAGCTTGAGATTTAGATTGTGTCGGGGTCATTTGCCGTAAAAAAGATCGTATGTATATTGTATGTTTATTTGTGCTTGCTCTCTGATGTCATCGATCAGACGTAGGATTGAGAAATGTAATATATACATATGTAAAACAGCTGCTAGATGCTCGCGATGATCTCGAATTTAGAATAGGTCTAACAAATTCCCCTATGCAACTGCTGGATATCTGTAAAGAAGGAAGATATAGTTTTACTATAGGAAATGGGATTGAAATTTTGTCGAATTTCTCACTTAAGCCGCAGTTTATGGCGCAGTTGAATTTGTTTTCGTTGTAGTAGTTTACGCTATCACTGCCACAAATTGGATTATACTCGCTGGTCGCCGGGCAAGACTGGAGGCAGGCATAGAAACGCGGGGACTGGGTGGTTGGACGAGGGGTGGTGGTCGTGGTGCTGCCTCCTCCGTCTGGAAATAATAGAGGCTGCTTTGGTTGCTGGGGACGCAACCAAGGGTTCCCGTTGTCGAATTGGGGATAGCACACTGCCATCCCAATCAATAGGATCACAATACCTGAAAAGGGATCTTAAGCTGATATAGCCATTTTCAGGACCACACAACCTACCAACTAATCCGATCCGAACCATTTCCAAAGAGCCTGCTGCTTCCGCTTTGTCTAAGAAACAAGTCACTTCTGAGGCTTCGAAAACCTGATGACGGCTTTTTATAGGGCAGCGCCCGACCCGATTATTGCGATTGATACTTCATGAATTTTAGGTACGCCTCCCTCCCCCATCTTACGCATATAAGTGTACAAAGGAACTGTTTGTAAATTCAAGAATCGACATAAAACCTGTATTTTAAGTCATGGTCACTGTTTACCAGGGTTCAAGTAAATATATCCAGTCGCATTTGGTCAACATTGGTGAATTCTGTTGTATTCCCTGCAAGTTAAATCTGACTACCGTTTTGATTTGGAAATGTTATTAAAATTGATTTTTTTAATTCTACCTTTTGCCCCATAGACGGTAGTGGATTTTATTTGTTAGATTAATAATGCTATTAAAATAGGTTTTGTCACAACTTCTATTTATTCGCTGACATTTATAATTTTTAGTTCATTCAAAATAAGTTATTCAAAATAAAGTAATACAAAACCCGCAACTCAACTCTTTTCCAGTGCTTTTGCAACTCTTGCAAATCTTTTGATCTGAGTTTCCTAAAAATCTTTTGTTGCGGATATCACGATTGCCCCCAACACACTTTCAAACTCTACTTTAACTAGTTGTGAGCACTCGCAAAAGCAGAAAATATATTTCCCGTAAATGTAAAATTAATAGAATGTTCACCATAATGCAGTTCCTGTTGGTCGTCTTAGTTTTATTGTTTGGAAATCTCTTAATTTTGCTTTGATTTTATAACTTAATGTACATACTACATACATTTATACAGATCTATTTGGGAAATACAAATGTATATCGAAATAGTAAGCATCACAGAGTCAAATTTCGCCAAGCAGAGCTCGGACCCACAATGTTCTTCAAGTGAGTGTGTTTTGAGCAGTTTTAGGTGTTATAAACAAGCTGCAATCTCTGAAATAAAGCTGAGGCCCGATCTCTATGTAAAGTTATAGGCTATTTTGCCTCATAGCAAAAATCCGCTGCTGATGCTGCAGATGTTGCTGTTGTCGTTGCCTCTGATTGTTTAGCTGGACTTGCTGCTGCTGTTGCTTTGCCTTGCTTCTTCCAGGTGAACCAGATCCGCAGTGCTGTTCGTTTGGCAACTGAATTTGTTGGTCCCCTATCGATAGGAAACCAGTCAGCTTATTTTCCCAAACGATTAGACGAATGGGCACTAAGGAGAGGAGCTGCAGCTTGCGTGGCGCCTGCTTCATGTTTCGCTCGGCAATCATAATGTAGTTGGGTGCGCTGTGCGTGTCCACTAGGACCGTTTGCATCTTGTAGTTAATGCTTATAACGTGGCCAGACTCCAGGGTTACCACATTCATCATGTGCTGGAATATTTCTATGACAACGGCCTTCATATAGACGCCTTGCTTATTGCGTACGTAGCGCTTGAAGTACAAGTTGCCGGAGTCGTCTCCGGCCATTTTTGCATTGTACTTTCGCTCATTAGCTAGTTTCGTAAGCGCGTGTAATTCGTCTGGCGTTCGTCCAGGCGGTGTGCAATATTTAAGTGCGGCCGCCAAAAGGCTGAAATGAAGGAAGACTGTCAATACTAGAAGCTAAACCCAAAAGTAAATGCCAGTTACCGGTGTACCATTATGTCAGGATACCGACGGATCGGACTGGTGAAGTGGGTGTAGATAGGAATAGACAAGGCGTAGTGCCATAGGTCGGCCGGTTCCGATTTTCCCTCGCTGCAAAAATACCTGAAGAGATCGGAGGAGAATGTGACAAGGGGAATTCCGTGTAAAACAAAACACTTACGTTGCCCTTGCCATTGGCTTCATCAGAAGCTGACTAAGACAGGCGTTCATAGCGACAGGATTGGGGGCCTCGTTGCACAGCCGCACCATGCTCTCCTGAAGAGCCTTGGACGAGCTGTAATCCAGTTCGAATCCTAGTACCTGCAGCTTTTCCCGCAGCGCCTTTAGGGACTTAGTCAGTGGCGGCGGGTGGTTGCGCAGTACTGCAATCTCCGGAAAGGAATCGTGAATAAAGCGGGCCACTGACTGGTTCGCCAGTAGCATGAACTCCTCAATCAGGCGGTTAGCCTCCTGTTGTTTCTCCACTTCGAATGACAAAGGCTCACCGCTGATCGGGTCGAGGACGAAGCGCAGTTTAGCATTGTTTATAGTGAGTGCGCCATTCTCGAAACGTGATTTACGCAGGCTGCTCGCAATCCCGTGAAGCCACAAGACCCTCTCTGTAATTTCATCGGGATGAAATCCATTCAGGATGGTAGGAAAATCGTTCTCGTTGAACCGCTCTTTTGGGTTGTCTATGACCTTTTGGGCGTGTTCGTAGGCAAATTGGGAACAAGAGTTAATGACAGTGCGGCAAAATTCGGGCTTCTCCTGCAGCATTTTTCCTTGCCCGTTCATCTTCCAGAAGACGGAGAAAGCGAACTTATCCTCTCCGGGCAGCAGCGAACAGCGCATGCACAGAGTCTGAGGCAGCATATGGATTACTTCATTGGCTAAGTAAATAGAAGTCGAACGCTCCTTAACGATATTATCTAGCTCGGTGTCCTCCAGCAGGTAGTGCGACACGTCAGAAATATGAACGCCAACCTCATATTTGTTGTCGCCAAGCTTCTCAATAGAAACGGCATCATCCAAATCACGAGCAGTTATTGGGTCTATTGTAAATATGCACATCTTCCTCAAGTCCTTTCGCTGACGCAGATCGTCCTTGCTTATCTGCGGTGGCGGCTGTGAATACATTTCGTTGAATCGCTGCTCAAACGGCTTTATATCGCGAAGACCATTATGAAAAAGAATTGCCTTTAGCTCGTCCTCCAGATTACCAACGCGACCCACTGGCTGAATTAGCTCGGCAATGCAGTGTCCATTACAATCAGTCTCAAGTATATGGGCCAGGTATAATAGGCCCGAGACCTCCCCTTGCTGCGTGTTCCCAATATGAGCGACACAGGCTTCCTTCGGTACGTAGACCATAGGCACTCGCAAGTCGTATGGCCGGAACTTATAGAAGAGTTGGTCATCACAAAGCTTGGTTGGGTTCGTGAACGATATCGTTCCGACGATCTGGCGAAGCTCAGTTTGCTTGGTGATGGCTATGACGAACGCCTTTGGGCAGTTATCCGACGATATGACAACCACATTATCGCCATCGGCTTCCGAGTCCTGAGAATCATCTTCATCCGAAAGCTCCTCATCGTCCGCTAGGCAAAAATAGTATCATTCGACATTGTGGAAACTTTTCCGAGTAACTTACCCAGTGATAAAGAGATCTTTCCGCCAGTGATTTCTCCAGAGGTAGGTTCGGCAGGTTTTGAACTGCACTGGGCACCCGCATTAAGAACGAAGGCACGCACTTTGTCACCCTCAAAGGCATAGCGGCGAGCTACAGGTAGGAGCACGATGCCATCCCGTTCGAGGGCTTCGCGGTCTGTAGACATTGTGATAAAGGCCTGCCTGTTGTTTTTGCGATTCACCCGGATTTCATCTTCCACGATGCGTCCATAGCCCGCCGCAGCCAGCCGCTGTGCATGCGCTTCCAGATCGGAAAAGTTGCCCTTAAAGATCAGTTCTTGCGGCAGCTGGTGGTCCATACCGACGTGATGTTGGACTATCTTGTTTATGTACGACCGCATCGCCTCAAGCTCGGTTTTCAGGGACTGCATCTTGTTATTGCCAGAGCCCTCACTTTTCTTGCGGTTGCGCTGCCGACGTCCCTGCTTCGTCTGTAGCTGGGCAGGATTGCTATTGCTGCTCGTGCTCGAGATTTCCGACTCGTGGCGCTGCCGGCTTTCACCTGGTTGAGGCAGTTGTCGCCGGACCATTTCGCTCCCGCCTACGATGCGCTGAGGTTGTTGACGAAGAGGCGCCTGTTGCACCCTGTCCTGACTCCACTCCAGGTGGGATAAGACATCGCTTTGGCGTATCAGCTGGCCGGCGTACGCGTTAACTTCCGGGGAGACGTGCGAGAGATGTTTGACCATCTCCTGAAGGGCCTCCACCTCATTTCGGAGCGCCCGCTTTGACTTCCTCTTCACCATTGGCTGCTGTGGCGCATTGTGGTTGGACATAAACTGCATGAATGGCAGCGATTGCTGGGTCGGCATGGTCACCGGGTAGGAAGGCAGTGTTAGGTGGTAGGGTAGGGACATAGCTAACGCCATTGATCCTGGAACAGCATTAGGAATGGTCTGGCGGCTGTTGGAGGGTGCAGAATGGGCGTGGTTAGGACCTGGCACTGTCTCTTGTAAGCGCCTGTGTGGTGGTGGCGGATTGACGATCTTCACGTCACGGGTGACGGTCGCCGAGCATTGGATGACTGCACTGCACTCCATTTCCATCTCCCTCTGCTTCTGCTGGAGACGGGCGGTAAGGCGTTGGGATCGCTGTCGGAGAGCCTCAATCTTGCTCCAGTCGTGGGCGGAAGGATCGGAGGAGCCTCTGTCCTCATCCCGCATCCTGTCTGCCTCCACGTCGACGCTTGACGATTCCGACATTCTGTAAGGGTGAGCACCTGGTTGTTATGGCCTGAAGGTTTTTGGCGATGCACCGTGCTCTCGGTGGGGATATAAAAAGTGCCAGACAAATTGACTACTTTCTCGAAATTAAAGTGATGTGTGTCCAGGGATGCAACCCACTACTACTGCAGTAGGACCGTACTGTGTGGTATGCCGGAGCAGCTGCAGGTTCGGCCACACTCCGATCCGGCAAAAAATTTGTGGATATGAACGACGGTAAGATGTTTTTGTTTATTTTCGCATTTGGGAACAGAAATTTAAAATGATCTCCCAGAGGAAATTATAAAGCAGCGCCTGCTGATCGACGGGGACGGCACTGGAGAGGATCGGAGGATAGTCGTGCTGCTGAAGCAGTTCTTAAAGTGGGCCAACGCCAAGAACGATTCGCCAGAGACCAAGTATGAGTGATCCGAAAATGCGGGGTGTTTTTGTATTGTACGTGAAAATGTCCCTTTCTTCCAAACGTAGCCCCATCATGTACGACCGCCTGATGGCCCAGTTCGCCCAGTGCAAGCTCACCGCGATGAAGAACGTCCAGACGCTGCAGATGATTGGCGCCGAGCGGGAAAACTACACCAAGCTGGTGGAGCAGCACGAGCAGAGCATCGTTCTGGCGAAGGAGGAGATCGAGGCCAGCAAAAAGGAACTGGTCACCGCCAAGCAGATTCGCAAGAACAAGATGGAATACGACCTGCTGGCATCGCTCATCCAAGATCAGCCGGACCGTAACGGCACCCAGAAGCAGATCGAGACTATCAGGAGGGAGATCGATGACCTGGTGCAGAAGAAGCTCAAGATGGAGCGCAAGTTTCAAAAGCGCCGCAACGACTTCACGCTGCTTATGTACACGATACACGAGCTGGAACAGCAGCTGGACCAGGACAATAGCTCATCCTCATCGTCTTCCTCCTCCTCCTCGTCGTCTTCCAGCGAGAGTGATGCCCGCTCGGAGCCTGACCTGGACGACAATGGCATAATGGAAGTCAGCGACGAGGACGACGACCTCAACAACAGCAGTCCCACAAAGTTCGACGGAGTCCGCGGCGAGCCCAAGTTCCACTCCGTCTCCACGGAGGACTCCAAAGCCATGTCTTTGGAGGAGGACACTGTCCTCGAGCTAAGCATTGACAAGGACGAGCATGACGTGGATGTGGCTGTGGCCAGTTAGGTTAGAGGGGCAAATGGTAAAAATGCACAAAAACGTATAATAAAATGAAGATATAAACGAAGATATAAAGATGGTGATGAAACTTTTTTTTCATTCTTAACTTGATTTAAATTTTCGGATTTTTTAATCCTTATTCGTACTACTTTCGTAATTTATATTTTAACGGATTATAAACTTATTGGCATAACTAAATAATAAATAAGAATTGTCGGATTTTGATAAATTATTTTTTTAATATTTTAAATTATTTATTTTTTGTTTAAAAATCAATGAGGTTTGACAGTAGATATGCAGTTTGGCAGTATATTTTCCATTTCATAGTGCAGTCACACTAAAAAGATTTTTAAAAAGAAGAAGAAAAAAAGAAGAAACTGAAAAGTTTCACTAATTTTCAACAATAAATTAAAGACGTTCCAAAGGACGCACGCCCTGTGCACATTTCCCCCACTGTGTAGCACAACGCAATGATGACTGACAACAAAAGGTAAGTTGATTAGATTAAGTGTGCATACCACATGTGTGTGTATTGACCGCGGTTTCATTTCCACTCCGAATAGCTACGACTCCAGCAACGACAGCGAGTCGGAGGAGCATCGGGCCAAGCATAAGAAGGCCAAAAAGCACAAGAAACACAAGAAATCCTCATCTGGCAAGGGTGAGAAAGACAGACATGCCCACAAGAAGCACAAGAAGGCGAAAAAGCGCCCCCACCGCGCAAGCGAGTCCTCGAACGACTCGGATGCGATGGAAAACGCCAAGGCCAAGCTGGCGAAGAACTCTGGGCTGAGCAGCAAATTCACAGAGATCATGCAGAAGGCTAGTCGCAACGGAGCCGACTTTCGCATCGCCAAGCCCATGTTGCCGACGGACCCAAGCAGCCTGGTGGAGGAGATCACCAAGACTATTCAAAACAAGGTGCTGCCCGTCTTGGAGGTAGCCAGTTCGGGTAGCGAAAGCGATGTGTGAGTATTGTGTTGAGGGCGGTACACTCCGGATTTCTGTCGTAACACAAGTCGTCGGCACTTACTTTTTCGATTTCAGACCTGCCGATGTGGCCAGTCCGATCATTGCGTCCATTATTGAGGACGAGCTGAACTTGGAGGATCTGATGAGACAGAAGGCTATGCTGCAGGCTCGCCTGGGCGCCTATATGTCGGACCCAGAGGCCGACGACAGAGGCGAGCTCCATCCGCAGCAGACCAAGCCAATGCCCAAGGTGGCCACTTCCGCACTTCCGCAATCCCTGTCACAAGCGATGGCCGCCAGCAAGTCTGCAGCGCCGCTGGCTACTGCAACCAGTAAACATGCTAATATTAAACAGTCTAGCACGCATAACTCAAATGAATCCGATGTTATATTGTTGGATGATTCTAGCGGAGGCCAGCGAACCCCCTCGCCCACGCCCGAGAAGCGGAGACGCCACGCATCCCCGCTCCCAGCAGGCTCGAGAAGCCGAGCCCGCGATGACCCGCTCCACGGACGAAAGGAACGGCGGTCGAGAGAACGCGATCGCACACCCTCACGTCGTCGGGCAGCTGAGCAGCAGACACAGGCACGGCCCCGCAGCCGCAACCGAAACATGGAGGACTTGCGACAGGAGATCAACCGCGACAAGCAAAGGGAGAGACGCGACCATAGCCGAGACCGGGATCGGCGTGGGGCGGAGAGGCCACCGCCCACCGAATTGCGAACAGGTCGTGCCCGCGAGCGGGACGTTCGACCCAATCGCAGCCAGCGCTCGCACAGCCGGAGTAAGTTTGAGTCGGACAGGCGTCGAGAGCGGGAGCGGCAAAAGGACCGGGATCGTGGTGGCTTTGACCGTGGTGGTGGGCGCGGTGGAGCACGTGGTGGCGCAGACAACGGGGACCGCGATCGGTACAAGGGTTCGCTGAGCGAGGGGCAAAAGAAGCACGACAAAGAGAGCAGTGACGAGGAGGCCAACCTCCTGGACATTGACATTGACGAGGACGAGGATGACGAAGAGCGTATCATTGAGCAGCGTCGAAAGAAGCGTGAGGAGCTACTCAAGGTGGGTAAAACTAATTTTATATTATAATATTGATAGCTTATCATTCGAAACTTAACAGAAACTGGGGACTGGGCAGGAGTCACCAACTCCTCAAAACTCCATTAGGTACGAGTCTCGAAGCTCTTCGCCAGGGTCATCCCAACGCGATAGGCCCCATAGGACGCCGACACCCACTCTGCCCAGCTCGGATCCGCCTAGCTCAGACATGCCGAAGGAGCACCAGCAGCTGGACAGCTCGAATAGCCAAAAAAACAGCTCCGTCAAGGAAAAAAGAAACGAGTGGGATATGTTCGCTGACCAAGATGTGGATTCAAATTTCGATGTGAGTCACAGGATTGTAAATTTCAGAGCCAAATTCCCTCGTTACAGATAATAATTTCGAGTTTAAATCCACCAGTCACCCAACACCATCGTACAAAATAAGCACCAACACGAAAATCCTGCCCTCACCGACAACTGGGACGATGCAGAGGGCTATTACCGAGTTCGAATCGGCGAGGTTCTGGACAATCGCTACTTGGTAAACGGATACACTGGCCAGGGTGTCTTCAGCAATGTCGTGCGTGGCAGAGACCAAGCTCGGGGACAGGCTAATGTAGCCATTAAGATCATACGCAACAACGAAATAATGTAAGCGAACATATTTTATATTATCTTGAACCTCTATTTATGCAGTCTCTATTAGGCACAAAACTGGCTTGCGAGAATTGGAAATTCTAAAGAAACTGAACGATGCTGATCCGGAAGATCGATTCCACTGCCTGCGTTTGTACCGCCACTTTTTTCACAAGCAGGTAATTTTTTATCATAACCAGCTCCTTCTCACCTATTGTAATGTTTTTATATTTTCATGTACTGTAGCATCTCTGTATGGTGTTCGAACCTTTGGCAATGAATTTACGTGAAGTACTTAAGAAATATGGCAAGAATGTTGGCCTCCACATCAAAGCAGTTCGTAGCTATACACAGCAACTTTTTTTGGCACTCAAGTTGCTAAAAAAGACGGGCATTTTGCATGCGGATATAAAGCCGGATAACATTTTGGTCAACGAAAATAATCTGATACTGAAGTTGTGCGATTTTGGGTCTGCATCGGCCATCAGCGACAACGAAATAACACCGTACTTGGTGTCGCGGTTCTACCGCTCACCAGAAATTATTTTGGGTATTCCGTACGATTATGGAATCGATACATGGTCCGCCGGCTGCACAATATACGAACTGTACACGGGTAAGATTCTGTTCAGCGGCAAGAGCAACAACCAGATGCTCAAGTTTTTCATGGACGTGAAAGGCAAGATACCAAACCGAATCGTCAGAAAGGGTCAGTTTAAGGAGCAGCATTTTGATCAGAGCTGCAACTTCTTGTACCACGAGATAGATAAGCTCACCGAAAGGGTAAGAGTTTATAAATTGATGCAAGACGTCAGTGCCCGACTACAACGTCTTACTTCTGCAGGAAAAAATTGTTGTGATGCCGGTGGTGAAACCTTCGCGTAGCTTGCAGCAGGAACTAATCGCTGATCAAAACCTGCCAGATGACCAGCATCGCAAGGTCACACAGCTGAAGGATTTGCTGGAGAACATGTTTGCCCTGGATCCAGCCAAGCGGATATCCCTCAACCAGGCACTAGTTCATCCCTTTATTCAGGAGAAGATGTAGAGCAGTCTTAGAAATCAATGAAACGTAATTTTATTTTGCCTAGCCGTAAGACAACCGATACGCCCAACTCGTGCGTTAGTTACTAGTTCTCGTTCGTTATCAGACAAACATGCTCACCCAATAATCACACGATCTATACATCTACTCGACCGATGTAAATAAGCTCTGTGGTTTGCGCGTTTTGAGAACCGAATTATACAAAATATTATTATTCAGTTAGCAAATGTTCCGCAACTTGTTATTCGTGTGTGTATCATGCGTGTATATAAGTATTTTAAAGCTACTACTGTATAAAATGCATGTGACCGATTTGCCACACACACAATATATACATATATATAAACATATCCATAAGCACAGTTTTTATATGTTCTGTGAATCGTATTAATGAGTACTACATTTTCAGTATGCCGCTTGTTACGGAAGAGCGATCCTTGGCCTTGTGGCTGACCTAACTGGTAATAATTTACACGACCTTGCAGAAGATACCCCTTAAGTTTAAGAGCCCGTATGTCCCTCCGATCATAATTAAGGACATCATTTTATAATTTTAGCGTTTTTTAATAGACGTCGTCTGTTTCTATTATTATTATTTTCTATCTATCGCAAGCTTAATAATATAATTGTTTCTTATAAATTTTGTTTAATCGTATACAAACCTCTTGACTTTTGAATTCCACAAATATATTATCGCTGCAAGGAATAGGGGGCTTCGGCAAGTCGAAGAAATCATAAGGCATATAAGCTTTAATCTGACCGACTGTCAGATTCAGCTGATCTTTCACAACCCGCTTGTCGCTAATGCATACATTTTCTTTAAACTTGCAGTTTGGGCTGTCATCAATTTTCTTTTACGGCTTCCCAGTGCTTCTGCCTGTTGTAGTTCGTGAGAAGATTAAGTAAAAGCGTTCACGAACTTGTTAACGGGCTTTCGCTCTGTCCAAGTAAGTTGTGCTGCGGCCTACAGGTGAGTTACATTTTTTATTAATACACAATGACAGCCTGCTAGCCCAACTCATCGCTGGGCACCGGCAGCTCCAGAGCTGCCTGCAGAGTCTCGCTTAAGCAAAGGCTGTGAAGTTCCGGGGGCTTCAGTTCGCTTTTGAGCATGCACTTGACTTTCTTGGGCTTCCAGTTGTTATGCGCATAGGGATCCCGCAGCAGACCGAAGGCGCACTCAAAGACACCGACGCAGCTATCGCAAGTGTGCAAAGTGCCGCAGCAGAGCACCACCACCTGCCCGTAAGAATCCATTCGGCCCTGAATCCCGGCGTGCGTCAAGTTCGGGTTGAAGTGGAAGCCAAATTGTTCCTTGGTGCTCGTTAGTGTCGACAGCACTTCAGCAGCCGTCGTGCACTCCGACTCGTTTATTCCATCGTTGGCCATAATGGTAAGGTGCAGGGCCGCATCGGTCCAAAGGTCCACCAGGCTCAGGCTGTTTGAATTGAAGCGCTCGAAGAACCACTCACCGAATTTCTTCGCAATGGCGTGAATGGGGTAATCCTCTTCGTTCAGCTTGTAAGTCGAGACAACGGCGGACTGCCCTCTACAAAGCCATCTCTTGGACTCCTGGTCCTCTTCCCAGTACTGAATCACCTTCGTTATGAGGTCTGCCTTGGTAAAATCTGTGTTAGCTTCCGGTTGTCGGCTGTGCAGATACGTGAAGAGGAGTTCTTTGGTTATCGCGCGCTTGGAGAGCAGGATGTAAATATCTGGGATGTAAGTAGAGAGCAGTCGGAGGGCTTCTGCAAAATAAAACCACACGTCAGGCACATTTATCTTGCTAAAGTAGAGTACATATGTGATTTTAATACCGACCCTCTGGATCCTTAGGATTGCACACATTTTTCGTGGTGCCTTTGGCCAACTGGATCAAAACGGGGGTGTTCTGCTCGCTCACAAGTAAATCCCGGAGACCCCTTTTATGGATCTCCGAGATCGGCATGGCTACAATAATATGTAGTTGCCTTGGCGGGACTTGTATTGGTTCTTGTTATTCTTCCCAATTTCGAGTTCCGACCAGCTGATGCCCTACGACTACGGTCACACTTTTCAGTATTGCCACACCTGGTAGGGGGACAGATTTCGGTGTGAATGTCTGTTCATGGGCAGAACGAATTAGCAAAGAAACATTACTATGTTCATCGGTTTTCTATGTATTTCAATAATCTGATGTTTAAATCAAACAAAAGAATGTTGTTTGAGAAGTCTTAAAATAAATATATTTGGGTGCCAGTTATCATGGTTATTTTGTATTGGTTATGGCGACTTTTCAGTAAAATACAATGGGAAGGACGTTATTCTTAATTTTACTGACGCATGAACGGCCCCTTCGCTCATATATTGTCTTTTTGCCGTAAGTATTTACTCGGACAGGTTTGCTAACGCAACGATTACCAAAGAGAGGGGCTCGCTCTCCTTATCTCTTATCGCATAATTCCCGTCGAATGTCGACAATTCCAATAACTAATTTTAGTGTCGTAAAAACTCGCGAGAAAGCGTACTGGCATTTATTGACTGTGAACGTGAACTCTGGACAGCACTAAGAAATGGATTCACCGACTTCCGAGACGTCCTCGCCCCCACCAGCGCCAACTGGTCCATTCGTTGGGGCCATCGACGAGGGAACCACCTCCGCACGGTTCATCATATTCCGCGCGGGCACCGACGAGATTGTGTGCTACCACCAGATCGAGGTTGAGTCGATTTTCCAGAAGGAGGGATGGTGCGAGCAGGATCCCATGGCCATAATGAATACGGTCAACGAGTGCATTGCCGGAGCTTGCAAGAAACTCGTGGCCCTGGGCGGCAAAGTTAAGGTACGTCTGGTTCCGGTTTAACATCAGTCCACTCCCTACATTCATTCTGCTTTGAAGGCGGGCGATCGAGGGGTTCTTTATTAATGTAATAGATCACATGGCAGGAAAAGGAATCGGGATAAGCAGCTAGCTACTGTCCAGCAGGAACTTGCGGTACACTTGTGCCTCCTCGATTCTTTCCTCGATCGTGCGCGGTGGCTTTTCCTCGGCGCTTTCATCCAGTTTTACATAGATTTGGTCATTGTGGCCGAAGTCCCCATGACGTCGAGGCATGACGTGAAAGTGGACGTGGGGAACGGTTTGCCCGGCCTCGGCTCCATCCTGCACAGTGACTGTGGCAGAAGTGGTCTGGTAAATCTTCTCCAACAGCCGCTGCACCATGCAGACAGTCGTGAACATGTCCGCGATCTCTGCGCAGTCAAGACCACAAAGACGTGGTGTCACTCGCTTAGTGGAAACCAGTACGTGGCCTTCGACCACACACCGCAAGTTGGTGAAGGCAAAACAGTGATCGGACTCGTAGAAAATGGTGCGCCTGTCCACGATATTGGTGGCAAATGGCCGATCCTGGGCGGGCTCCTTGCTTTTCAGCCCGTAGGCCGTTAGGCAGTAGAGGTCGTTTCGCCGGTGTTCGAAGCAGGGCATAGTCTGGTACAGGGATTGCAGAACGGAGAGATCCACCTCGACTGTGCCTATTTCAAGCTCCCGATCGCCACCACAGTCGGCCAGCACTTTTCCCCAGGGACTGACGATCATGCTGTGGCCCCAACTCTGTCGCTTCTTGTTGTGCCAACCCTGCTGGGCGGCCGCGACTACAAAACACTGTGTTTCAATCGCTCTCGCGCGCAAAAGGATCTCCCAGTGCGCCTTGCCTGTTGCATAGGTAAAGGCAGCCGGATAGGTGAGCAACTGTGCACCCATCTTTCTCAGCAAAACTGCCGTTTCAGCAAACCGAAGGTCGTAGCAGATCTGGAGTCCCACCTGGCCAGCGGGCGTGCATACTGGTCGCTCTAGACGCTCTCCAGGGGTCACTGTGTCCGACTCGCGCAGGCGAATCTCCTTTGTCGTGGCGTCAAAAAGATGCATCTTTCTATATACTGCGGCTAGCTCCCCCTTTTCGTTGACCAGTACGTGCGCGTTGTAAATCTTTCCCTGGTCGTTCCGCTCGTGCACGCCACCCAGGGAGAGCCACATCTCGTTCCACTTGGCCAGTTCTCGGTACTGTGCCATTAGCTCCCCGTCCAAGCCCTCCGAAAGCTCCAGCGTTTGGGCGCGGCTCTCGCCCACAAAGTCACAGCACTCGGGCAGAAAAAGCATGCAGGCGTTTTTGGACTTGGCCCTAGCCACCAGCTCCTTTACCTGGCCGAGATTGGCCGTCTTGTCGCTGGTGGATCGCATCTGACCCACGGCAATAGTTGCACTTTTCCCCGGACCGGACATCCTGCGTAGCTGCTGTTGGAGGGTGGTCACAATGCTGCGTCGTATGATTCTGACTAGAGTTGACATTGAGACAGTCCGCCGGCTGTGGAAAATTCCAAACTGGTTACGTCGTCGCTGGTTGTTATCAATTATTTTCACTTAGTTGTTTACTGCTTATCCTCCCTTTACGGCCCCCTCGTTTGTCGGCGTTACCCGGGAATGGCAACCAAGTGTGTACAGAGCCATTGAAAATAAAAAATACAATAACGGTTTCAATTCGGTTTCAATATTTGAAAATGACCGCTAAGCTTTCAACTCGTTCTCGTTTCAGGAAATCATCACGATTGGGATAACCAACCAGCGCGAGTCCACCGTCGTCTGGGATAGACATACCGGCCAACCGCTGGTGAACGCCATCATCTGGTTAGACAACCGGACTACCAGCACGGTGGAGGAGCTGTTGGAGACGATTCCGAACAATGCAAGGAACATTAACTACCTGCGACCCCTGTGCGGGCTACCTTTGTCGCCTTACTTTTCGGGCGTGAAGCTCCGTTGGCTGCGAGATAACGTGCCGGTGGTCAGCCAGGCCATGGAGAAGGGCACGGCCATGTTTGGCACCATCGACACATGGCTGATGTTCAACTTGACGGGCGGCAAGGACGGCGGCGTTCATAAGACGGATGTGACCAACGCCTCGCGGACCATGCTCATGAACATAGAGACTCTCCAGTGGGATCCCAATCTTCTCAAGTTCTTTGGCCTGCCCAAGACCATTTTGCCGGAGATCTGTTCGAGCGCTGAGTTTTACGGCAGTATAGCACAGGGCGTGCTAAAGGGCACCAGCATAAGCTCAGACTTGGGCGACCAGCAAGCCGCTCTTGTGGGACAGCAGTGCCTCGCCAAAGGTCAGGCCAAGGCCACTTTCGGCACAGGATGCTTCCTGCTTTACAACACGGGATCATCCATCGTTCACTCCGGGCACGGGCTGCTCACTACCGTCGGCTACCAACTAGGCCGGAAGGCAACACCATTTTACGCCCTGGAGGGCAGCGTATCCATTGCCGGCGCGGCCTTCAACTGGCTGCGCGACAACATAAACCTTATTCAGAACTCCGGACAGATCGAGACCATGGCCAGCACTGTGGACAACTCCTTAGACGTGTACTTTGTGCCAGCTTTCAACGGACTTTATGCCCCCTACTGGAACCAAGACGCCCGGGGCGTTATTTGCGGACTTAGTGAGGAAACAACAAGTGAGCACATTGTGCGAGCCACGCTCGAGGCAGTGTGTTTTCAGGTCCGCGACATACTCGATTCGATGCACAAGGATTGCAAGATTCCGCTGGCCAAGCTGATGGTTGACGGGGGCATGACTGTGAATAACCTGTTTCTGCAACTGCAGTCCGACCTGGTCGGTATTCAAGTGCTCCGGGCCAAGATTGCGGAGACAACAGCGCTGGTTAGTAGGCTAACATGTAAATTCAATGCGGCTATTCTCAGCCTTTCGTTTCAGGGAGCTGCAATGGCGGCCTACAAAGCCGTCGAGAGTCGCTACCAAATGGATGCTCCACTCTCGAAGTCAGGTCCTCGTGAGGCAATAAAGCCACAAATTAGTGCAACCGATCGCAACCTCCGCTACCAGAAGTGGAAAATGGCCATCGAGCGCTCTCTGAACTGGGAGACATCGACCTTTCCGCAGGGCGAGCGCGAAGCCTTTGATGGAGCGTAGACTCAACCCTTGTCTGGTAATGTATTGTACTTAGTTTTGTGGATCAACTTTTTTATTATTGCCGTTTCTGCGAGTGGTCTTTAATTTTTTTTTGTGTTCGAAATTTCGATTTATTGCATATATAAAAATGTTGATGAAAAACGTAGAAAGGGTTTTCTGTGCGCGCTGCTGCTCTGGCAGTGTTTACGCCTTCAATGCGGTCCGTTGCTCTACATGTCTTCTATTACGCCGGCGGCACCAGCGGCCGCTGCCTGGTCCAACTCGTTGAGCATCACAACGCCTCCAGCTGCCTCATCGACGGCGACCACGGCTACTGGACCAGCAATGCCCATCGCTGCGGGGGCGACGGCCACGCCGACGGCTAGCTCTGCATTGTTGGGATGCGGATTAACCACTGCGATAGGAGGAATAGGATTTCCACCTGCAAAGGAATTGGGGCTTTAGGGAGCTGTTACTCTCCACGTGGACCTTTACGCACTTGCGTCCAATTCCAGTGGCGGATCGGCGTTCGCTTCTGCGAGATTCGTTACGGACTTGGATTTCACACACTGGAAATCTACGTGGCGACTCTTCGCCTCCTCTTTCTCCCAGGACATGTGAATGAACGGGCGCTGGACATAGCTGTAAATCACCTCGGCCCGGCCGCCCGGACGCCTTCGGATCTTCTCCTTGTGGGTTGGGTACCCCTCTATGCCGCAGCGGATCTTCTTCAGCCCGCGATCCTTCATCACCTGCTTGGCCACATCGCGGTTTTCGATGTATTTGAAAAATCGGTGCATGGCAGTGCTGTGGACAGCTGCGTTGAAAAGACAATCGGTTTTATTTCTGTGATACCATTGGCGATATATTTCCAAGGCCCCACTCACTCTGGCAATACTCCTCGCCCATCTGTGGCGGGAACTCCTCATCCCACTCAACCATGTCGTCTTCAAGGAGCACCACAACGTGACACTCGCGATCTCCTCGCTGCGCCGAAGCCACCATGAGCGGCAGAATCAGGTCCTCCAAAAAGAGTTCGAACTGCTGTCGCGCTCCTTCGTTGCTTAATTCGTGAAGAAGGCCTCCTTTATGTCGAACACAACAGAAGGCATGTTACAAGGAAAAAGAGACGGGAAAAAAGCAGAGAGCAGCAGTGGCCACAACTAAGGTTCGCCCAGGCAGTAGCAGCTTGCAGTATACTCACTTAGGTTCTGGCAGCGCACGGTGGTGGCGTCAAAGGGAATGAGCAGATAATCACATGCTTCCTTTAGTTCCGGTACCGAAACAGTGGGAGGGCAGCGGATCACGCCGGTCTTATAGTACTCCAGGATGGCCCGGAACACCAAGTGAGAGATGCCGTCGGCCACGTCGTACTCCCCACGCTCGTTGGCATGCGCGAACTGGAAGCCGCTGCCGAACATGGTTCCCAGCATCGTGGTGGGATGGGCTGCAAGCACGGACTGCTCCATCGAGAACCGAACGCCGTCCACGAGCATGGAGATCCTTTCAGGTGGCTGTGCATAAGGGCGACCCACTCCGGAGCCCGTTGCCTGGCAGCTGGGTGATGCGGCGCCCGGAGACTTGCCGTCGTGCTTGGGCACAGCTCCCCCGCCGGACATGTTGTGCTGAGGTCGGTTCAAACGACTACGCTCCTTCAGGATGCGCCTTCTCCGTTCCTCGGCCGTCTCGATGCCCTCCTCGCTGCTATCGCTGCTGTACGTGTCCTGCTTCTGGGGCAGGGTCTGCTTGTTGCTATTGCTACTACTACTGTTCGAATTGGGAGTGGTTGACATGTTTGTTGCGTTTACTGGGCCGCTCTACAAATATTCCAGTTTCACTCCGCTCGCTCAACTTTTCAAGCGAGACAAAGAAGACGATCTGGCGAGGGCAGGAGACGGTAAAATAGTACTGCTTATCGCGGCATCTAGGGTCTTATTATGATGTATTCACCGTACCTTTGTGCGACGCGACTTTTGCCTTTTTACATATAATTATAAATATACATATTTTTCTTGTTGGTGTTAGAGATGGAATCGGCATCACAAACGGTCACGCTGAAAAGTATCGCTTGTCCGGAGGGTGTATCAGCTATTCAGGTGGGTGTATTCGCTGAATGCCCCCTGCACTATGGGTTAAAAATTGCTTTGCATAATAAAATCTTTTTACCTAAACACACTTTATTTGAAAATAAATGACTGTACACTATCTTGACTTTTTTTTTTAGCAAGCCTTTTTTAATTATAATATTGTTCTTGATTTGCTCGACCTTCAGCTGGTGCAGTTTAGGCCTGATTCGAGCAATGGCGTGGGCTGTGCCGCCCACTTTTCCCCACCAGCTCCAGGTGGACAATGTTGGCCCAGGGCGAGCTGCTCGAGCAAGAACCTCTTGTCTTCTTTCCCGAACAAGGAGTCGTCTTGGCATCGACGCCACCTCCGGGTCCCGTTGTGTGCGCACCAAGTACCTACCAGAAACATTAGGTGGCGACTCAGGCTCCCATGCTGAAACTAACTTCTTAAAAAATGTATAATAGAGCCTCCTACCAGAAGTCTAGTTTAAAGGCGAATCAAAAAAGATCAGAAACTGAGAAAGGGTAGACGTGGTTACTAGTGACGAAAGTATAGAAACTTAAGAGATCGGTTTTTGCAGCCTCAAAGCCAAATTTCAAATGTCTGGTAAGTATTTGGGGAGAAAAATTAAAATAAGACTGTATATTTCATAAACGCCACCCACAAATGTTCATTCATTTAAAGATTTAAAGGAATCGGACCTAAAATTGTCCCGCAAAATGTCAAACAAGCTGAAACCAGGCAACAAAATATGTAAGCAATTACAAAGATAAAAATTGCATACACAAACACAACAGCACATTGGAAATTAGCACCACTATTGGTATTACTCACAAAATAAAATTATATCACTATATTTATTTAAAAATGGTTGCCACAACGAAATACAGCCCTGGGCCAAATGCGACTCTGTGTATACCCAAGCTGCGTATCGATAGCTCGCACCAACTACATGCATTCGATAGTTTAAATTTGCAACCGTTCATCATGGCGATCTGAAAAATAATTTTTGCTCAAAAATAAAATAAATAATCAAAAGAATTGTAATTCCGCGAACGCGAATGCGACTTTGCGAAACGTGAGTTTGAAACGGACGCAGAGCGAAATCCTCGGGCTACGATCGCTTTTCGGCCAGTAACAAGTGCCTGGCGTGTGTGTCTGCGGCGGCAAAAAACCCAAATGTAAAATATATAACAAAATCCCAACTCCCCCAAGACCTAGCTGTGCGGTGCGAAAGTGGCGCCCCGAGTGGGCGTAGTGGGTCCGGGAGCTCGTGTTAGCCGCCGATAGGGTTCATAGTTTTCCAGTTCGCAATAACAAATAAGTTGTTACAATAAAAGTGAAAAAAAGTGCAAAAAACTATGATTGCTTCTGCTCAACGAACGACGGGCGGAGGGGGATGGCTGGGTATCGAGTAGAAGCTGGCTGATGCAGCACGCGCGCCACCTGCTTGCCTCCCGCTCGCACTCACACGCGGAGTAAGCGCGCCCTTAAACGAGCGTGCTGCGAGCGAGCGAGAGGGCGCCTGTGGTGTGTTGCAGCACTCACCTACTGGCCGGCAGCCCGAGCGTTTTCCTATATTTTTTGTGTATTTTCGGGAATGCACAAAAAATGTGGAAACTAATTTGAAACGCTCCTGCTACCAGCGAATAACCCACTAACATCCGTATCCGCCCGTTAGATCAGCAGCTCGTCGCCAATCCAAACCAGTGAGCGAACCAGCAACGGCAAAAGTTTGTGCGAAAACAACGAACAATAACAAAAGGCAGGAAGAGGAGGTGGTGTGGTGCCATTGGACGACCAACTCGCCCGTGGAGGAGTGCGGAGCACACAGGACTGCAAAGTGGCGTCGCTACTGGATATCCGGGCTGGGGCAGCAGCGGCGTCCATGTCCACGGGGCTCCAAGGGCGGACTAGGACCACCAAGAACCACGACCAGCCGCAGCCGGTCTGGTGTCGCCAACTGTGGCCTTAAGCATGTAGTAAGTGGCATCGCATTGCTTAAAGAGCCTGTACTAACCATCTCTCACCTCCAGGTCTTGCAGCACAGAACCCGTTCTTTAACAAGCACAAGACACAAGGAACAAGCTACCAATCGAAGCAAAAACACACACAAATTCAATCAACACCAATGAAAAATGTCACAAAGAGGTAAGCGCGGTAATCAGCATCACCACCAGTCGCAGCAGCGCAAGGATGTTGAGCCGCAGCCACCGCCCACCAAGCGGCGCAAGGGCAGGCCGCCCAATGGGGCGACTGTCGCCGAAGCGACTGGAGTGGGGGCAGGATCTGGAGCGGGAACAGCTGCGGGATCAGAGCGGGTTCCAGTTCTGCCTGTGAGCAACAGCAAGCATGACCAACAGGGAGAGCCAGAGCCAGACGCGGGAGGTGGAGGAGCAGGAGGAGGAGTCACCAGCTCTAGCACTAGCAAATCCAAGTCAACAAAGCTGGCCAAGTCGGCGAGCAAGTGCAAGTCGCAGGGGGCCAGTTCGAGCAGCTCCTGGCAGGCGCGCTCAGTGGCGGACATTAAGATGTCGAGCATCTACAATCGCAGCTCAACGGAAGCCCCAGCTGAACTTTACCGGTAGGCAGTCAAGGATTTAAGCAAACCAAGCCAACAAAAAAACCAACTGTTTTCCATTTTCCATTGCAGCAAGGATCTCATTAGCGCAATGAAATTGCCAGACTCTGAGCCGTTGGCCACCTACGAGTATTTAATAGTAACGGACCCATGGAAGCAGGAATGGGAAAAGGGTGTGCAAGTGCCTGTTAACCCCGACTCCCTTCCCGAGCCATGCGTCTACGTTCTGCCCGAGCCTGTTGTGTCGCCAGCACACGACTTCAAACTGTGAGTTCTAATCTAGTTGATTAGCTGCCATGAAATTGACTCAACTTTCTTCTTTCGCTTACAGTCCGAAGAATCGCTATCTGCGCATTACCAAAGACGAGCACTACTCGCAGGATCAGCATTACCTGACGAATGTCGTTGCCTTGGCGGAGAACACTTGTGCCTATGACATTGATCCCATTGACGAGGCTTGGCTGCAACTTTACAACGGGGATCGCGCCCAATGCGGTGCTTTTCCCATCAACGCGACGCAGTTCGAACGCGTCATTGAAGAGCTAGAGGTTTGTTTGATGATGATGCTGTCTTCCGGATCAATTTCTTTACTTTTGTGTGTTGCAGGTCCGTTGCTGGGAACAGATTCAAGTCATACTTAAGCAGGAGGAAGGCTTGGGTATAGAGTTTGATGAGAATGTCATCTGCGATGTCTGCCGTTCGCCCGACTCCGAGGAGGCGAACGAAATGGTATTCTGTGATAATTGCAATATCTGCGTGCACCAGGCTTGTTACGGCATTACAGCAATTCCATCAGGTAAGCGGCGCCTGCTTGTTGAGGAAACTGGAGTGTGTGCTCACGTGCAGTTTTCTTTTAGGTCAATGGCTATGTCGCACTTGCTCGATGGGAATCAAGCCGGACTGTGTCCTCTGTCCGAACAAGGGCGGTGCCATGAAGTCCAACAAGTCGGGCAAGCACTGGGCGCATGTTTCGTGTGCCCTGTGGATACCCGAGGTCAGCATTGGGTGTGTGGATCGCATGGAGCCCATCACGAAAATCTCAAGCATTCCTCAGTCGCGCTGGTCCCTGATCTGTGTGCTCTGCCGCAAGCGCGTTGGCAGCTGCATCCAGTGCTCAGTAAAGCCCTGCAAGACCGCCTACCATGTGACCTGCGCGTTTCAGCACGGGCTGGAAATGCGTGCAATCATAGAGGAAGGCAATGCTGAGGACGGCGTGAAACTGCGCTCATATTGCCAGAAACACAGCATGAGCAAGGGCAAGAAGGAGAATTCTGGTGCCCATGGCGGGGGCAGTGCCTCAGTCGCAAGCGCTATGCACAAAGCAAACAGGTTCGCCAGTGGGGCAGGAGGAGCAGCAGATGATGGCAATAGCGCGTGCGGGACATCTGGAGAGGACCCACGCCGGCGGAAAAATCACAGAAAAACTGAACTGACCTCTGAGGAACGTAACCAAGCCAGGGCTCAGCGCCTTCAGGTTAGTGGTTTTATGTTTAATTTACCTTCGAACGCGTTGTGTTTAGATTCTTGCATGCAATCGGTGCTAACTTTTTCCATCCAATTTCAGGAGGTTGAGGCTGAGTTCGATAAGCACGTTAACATTAATGACATTAGTTGCCATCTCTTTGATGTCGACGACGACGCTATTGTTGCCATATACAACTATTGGAAGCTCAAGCGAAAGTCTCGGCACAACCGCGAACTGATCCCGCCTAAGTCCGAGGACGTGGAGATGATAGCCCGCAAGCAGGAGCAGCAGGACATGGAAAACCATAAGTTGGTGGTTCACTTGCGTCAGGACTTGGAGCGAGTTCGTAATCTCTGCTATATGGTCAGTCGAAGAGAAAAACTTTCGCGCTCGCTCTTTAAGCTACGCGAGCAGGTCTTCTACAAACAGCTTGGAGTGCTGGACGAGATGCGGTTGGAGAAACAGCAGCAGCCCAAGCAGGAAGAAAAGCCACGGCCTGCAATGGATCTGGACGCCGTTATCTACGCCAACGACGGACCCACTTTGTACGACCGCTTCTACAGCTCGACTGGAGGACAAACTGTGCCGGCGCAGTACCAGGATTTGAAGTACATCCTCGAACAGCTTATGGGCAAGCTGCAAAGTGGTAAGCAAGGGCGTGGCCGTGCCTCCCAGTCTCCCAACAAACGCAGGCAGCCTGCAAAAGCGTCGCCCAGCAAGAGGCTCAACAATGGCAACCTCAGCTCGCGTACCTCTTCGCCTGAGAAGACTGCGGTGGGGAGTAAGGTGGGCCCGACTGTCACCAAGGTTCGGTCCCCGCCTGGGAAGCCCCCTGCAGGGAGGCGTGCCTCGAAGAGCGGCGCGGCGACGGCGACGTCGACCCACAACAGAAACCATTCGCACTCAAATATACGGAGTAGCGCGTCCTCCCATTCGTCAAGCGGCAGTTCATCATCGGGT